GATTCAATACTGAAACATTAAACATGCATTATGCAAGAGCAAAATCTGCTTATTACAAGTCTTTCTTTAGGCCTGATGTTATCTAAATTATCAATTAGACATTAATTAACTTATCCAGACCATAATTAACTCTCGATGTCAAGGCTAGCCTTCGATGTTGGCTGGATTAGATTCCTATATGCCGCTAACGGCTATTGATAATTAAATCAATAAAAGTGGATAATCGAGACTATGCTGTTTATATTAATGATTTTAGTAATGATGACCGAGACTATGCAAAAATTTCACCCGCTTCTTTCTCGGCTCATAGTGGATCAATTTGACTGAAATTTTCAGCAAATTACCTTTACACTATCTAGTTTTTAACTATTATAGCGAGAAATGCCATCTCTTTATCTTATCTCCCATAATGTATCTTTAAATAAAATTTATCTAAATTATCAATTGGCCAATAATAAAATAGTAACAGCTGTCCGGGAACAAGTAAGCATACATTGTAATGTACGTGCTTTACAAGATGTATGACGTCGACATCTATGGTAAGACAACTCAGGGTTTATTCAGTGCGTCTATTCAATAGTAGATTTAGTACTGAATAGGCCCGGTTGTGAGAGGGCGGGGGTGTTGAGGCAATCTGATTAAAACACGGATTCTATTTCGTTTCGTTTTTTATAGTTCAAAATTTCGTTTTACTTGTTTTTACTACACTAGGATCTGGAAGGGTTGTTATTATTGGCGTGTTCTGGATGATGAAAGGGGTTACCCAATGAAACGGTCTGTTAAGGCGAGGTTTTGGTGTAAAGTATAAAAAACGAAACGAAATATAGATCTGTATTTTAATCAGATTGGTGTTGAAGAGTTGAGTCGACTGATGTCTTGAAACATAAATTTGTTATACTTTATGTATTTTGACTATTAAACATTTTCGCTTCGTGCCAGTTTGTTTAGTTGTCTTTGTTGTCTTTAAGTATCATTGGACGGGGTGCAAAATACAATATGGTGACAGTTGGATCTCTAATGGGAATGTCAGCCCAAAATGGTTCAGTATTTACACAGATAAAATGAATTGAAAATTTGCATGATAAGAACAGCTCAGGTCGGGGAGTGACTTCTACTTTCGATGTTGGCGTTATACTACTTCCGGTCAAGGGCCCGAATCTACCGGATTATAATTATCAATGTTAGATAACCAGTTTGAGTACATTTTATCATAGATTAAAATGTCGAAATTGAGATATTTTTCCAAAAATTCAAAATAGACATTTGGCATTGGAGTGTGCTAGTGTATGTGCATCTTTAATACGGAAGCGTGTCAAAGCATTCGGTCGATGTATTAAAAAAGTACGACAACAACCAAAACAGCATTCTGTTAATTTCGGGAGGGTTTGGAATATTATACACTCGATGCATGTTCGGGTATAGTGTAGAAAGACCCCAGTGCATTCATTGGAAGTAGTCCCCGGAGAAAATCGTTCCTGCTATAATATGGTATGCTGACAAAGAAAATAATCGACAATCAATTGGCATTCCTGGCTATATTACATTATCAGCATTCCCTCTCTATATTCTGGTATGTTTGCAACCATTCAAATATATATTGCATATATTTCCCGGCGAGGTCCCCCCTTGTTAGTGGTGCAGGGCAGAAGACCAGGCAAGGTATAGTCGTTCAGATGAGACGAAAAACTGAGGTCCCGTGTACACACTGGTCTGCACGTAAAAGATCCCTTGTCAATTCGATATAAGAGTAGGCCGTAGCGCCGCTGTCCGGGTAAAATGTCCCTCATAGCACAATGTATGGCGTATGCCCATCTTTATTAGCCCAGTCAGGGCAGAACTGCAGTAGGGCGTTAAACATTTCTTACTAGGTGGTTTTGTATGTATAATATTATGCAATACTATGAACTATTGTTTCACACAATGCTCCCAATCGCAAAAAAATATCGGCCTGTGTGCACAAAAAAATTGCACGAGATGCACATGAAAAACCCAATATTCACGTGCAGTATTGTGTGTGAGACCTTTAAAAGCATGTTTTCAACTTAATGTGCAGTACATGAACTGTGAAACGTCAATCTGTCGTAATTTGTTGTTGGACGTGGGAAGGAATCGAGCTAGAGATGCCGAGACTTACTGAAAATCAAAGGAATGAAGCCATGGGAATGTCCAGGGCTGGCATGTCTACACGTGCTATTGCCAGACACTTCAATTGTCATCAGTCCACTATTGTAAGGTTGGTGGAACGTGTTTGAGTTACTGGATTAACACGTGACCGTCAACGTCCTGGTCCACAACGCGTTACAACCGAGGGTCAAGACCGCTACATCCGGGTCACTCATCTGCGAGACAAATTCTGCCCAGCGACTCGAACAGGTGCAGCAGTCGTCGGAAGACAAGGACCAGTAAGTGCCAACACCGTAAGACGTCGTCTAAGAGAAGTAGGACTCCGTGCACGACGACCTTATGTTGGAGCTATCCTCAGGGATCATCACCGTCAGTGGCGTTTGATATGGGCTCAAGGACACCAGACATGGAGAAGAGTAGACTGGCAAAGTGTGCTCTTCAGTGATGAGAGTCGCTTTCATCTTTATCACGCTGATGGCCGTCAACGTGTGTGGAGACGTCTTGCAGACTGCTGCATCTTCGAAACGAATCGATGGGGTGGGGGAAGTGTAATGGTGTGGGGAGACTTCACATTTCATAACCGGACCACCCTGCACATTTGCAGGGGTCGCGTTAATGCTGTAGCCTACCGTGATGATGTCTTGCAACGAATTGTTGTTCCGATGTTTCGAGCGCACCCACAACTTCAGCACTTCCAACAGGATAATGCACGTCCGCATACCGCCCGTTTTAGTATGGACTACCTGACTGCTAACAACATCAATGTCTTGGACTGGCCAGCCATGTCTCCGGACATGGCACCGATAGAACATGTCTGGGATGAGATTGGACGCCGTCTGTATCGGAGACCACAGATGCACACCATTGCTGCTTTAGAAGCTGCTCTTGTCCAAGAATGGAACAATTTGCCCCAAGCCTTCTTTCAAACATTGGTAAATTCCATGCGACGTCGCTGCACAGCGTGCGTAAGAGCCCGCGGAGGACACACGTGCTACTGACATCTGTGTCGTACTTTTGGTTTTGACCCCTCTGACTTTGTACCGTTGATTACAGATTAAACATCTGTGTTGTTATTGATGTGTTCCCATTTGAATATTGTTCACAATAAGAAGCAAAATAAATAAGATATGTTTACAGGATCATTTTGTTATACGAAAAACTAAGTGATGCGTTTTCCATGGCGCTCAGTATAGATAGATTGACAATTATATGTACAGCGAATATTCCAAGTAGAATTGTCTCCCCTTTAGCTACTCCCAGTTCCAAGGGTCACGTACGATTAGTTAACTACAGTCGGTCTTTATTTCAACCCCATCTCAATTCCATTGTATCTATGGCAGATTAGGTAATTTAAAAAACGACGGAATAGAGTTTTTCTCACACCCTTTCCTCGTGTCCCTTATCCATGAAATAACGAGGGCCTACACAATTCATACATATTTCACATTTTCCGTAAAAGGCAAGGGCAAAATTAATGCGCAACAAAACTGAAGTCCAAGAGCTAGTGATACCCGTTTTAAGTTTCATCCAAATCGGACCTCTAGATGGTCTACAACCTGGGCATTACATGCTATTATACTATTTGCATAGAGGGGAACTGCCATTTGACTGAAAGCTTATATATATGAAGTCAGTGCCGTACTGGGCATACCTGTCCACCTGTCCATGACAGGTGGGCCTAAGCTCATTAAAAAAAAGTGGGCCTAAGCCTATAAGGAAAAACGAAAAAAGAAAAAAGAAAAAAAAGAGAAAGAAAAAAGAAAAAAAGAGAAAGAAAAAAGAAAAAAAGAAAAGAGAAAGAAAGGAGAGGGGGAGGAAAAAAAAGAAAGAAAGATGGAGAGGACAGGACACAGGAGAAAGAAAAGATAGGAAAAAAATGACTAACAAACAACACAAAAAAAGATGTGTACTACAAGGAAAGAACTTTATGAGTTTGACCTCATTATACCGAGAACCGTGTAATTCATCTTTTAACCTCTTTTGACACTGAAGAGAATTCTCAAATTCATCTAATGATAGTGCTCTTAGGTCATTCTGTTATCTAATTGTATCAGGAAATCAAAAATTTGCCTTCTTCTGCTTTGGTCTGAAATGCTTTGGAAATTTTCATGGGAGGAGACCCCCCATGACCCCCCTCGGACGCTCGCGGGCCTTCGGCGCGTACTTGTGTGGGCCTTGGTCAATGACCTGACAGGTGGGCCTTCGGCACACCAGTCCGGCACTGTATGAAGTGGCGGTCCTAGGTTATAAACATACAATGTCAGTTTCATCAAAATCGTATAAAAATTGTAACCTCTAGAGTGTTCACAACCTTGGTATCATTATGTATATATTTGTCAAGTTCTGCATCGCAGGAAACCACTATCGACTGTGTTTGCATGGTAATGAATTTAGAAAAGAAATAAAGTTTCACTTCATTGCTGAGTGATTTTATTGGCCTAAATTAAGTCTTAGGATGGGAGCACCCCCAATGAAGAATTGCTCCCACCGGCCCTGTGTGCACACCAACGTGTACACTGGACCTCGTTTTTTGCACCATCCGAACGGCAGGTCCTAGGCTTGCCAATTCAGTAAGCTACCATACGTCTTTGTACACACAGATCCCAGTCTAGATATTTTTCACACACACCATTAATGCCAGCTTTTTAATTTTTCATCCGATAAAAGGACTATAATGCAATTAAGCAATCATTTTCCCATAAAACCAAGTCGGCGGACAAAGCGGTAGAATAAAAATATTAATTTATTGCCATTATCCATGTTCTTGCTTGGAAATAAAAAAGGAAGAAGACCCTCAAAATCCAACGTTTTCTGTAGTTGTTGACTATGTTGACAAGACTGCTTACCGTAATCCTGCCATGCATGTGACTGGATAAACCTGACAGTGTCTATCACGTGACGTAATCACATGACCGTCACATGATCAGAGATCTCGTGATTATTTACCTGTAATAATAAGGAAGGAAGAAAGTTATATTGTCATTCTTAGGGCCAATTGTTTTAAGGTGAGTAACGTGTTATTTATCTAAATAGTTTATACACGATCCAAAGAAACCACAGACCGATTGTTCGGAAAGTGAACGAAATTATCAAAAACGTCATATTGTAACTTAGTTTAGTACGCCCCTCAAGTCAAGCAAGTCAAAGAAGTGGTTGGCCTACGGAAGCTTACTCACTGGCATTATGTTTGATTGATGGGACTCCCATTTTTGTGTTATAGGTTTTAATCTTAAATACCTGACCCTAACGCTAATCCTAATAGAAAGTAGGAAGTTCCATGTGGACACAGTGGCCTACGGACGGCTGACCGCTAGTTTTTCGGTGTAAAAGTGATGGAAATAGAAAAGGGAGTCAGATCAAACATGATCGCCAGCTTACTTAGTAATTACCGTTTGTAAAAACTTTGCTGGTAGGCCTACTGCATTTTCATTTTCTCCGAATATCGATCTTAAAAGTAACTTACTCTGAATCATCGATCCCATGCAAGCTTGGCGCTAGTCCGAATTGTTTGAATTGCTAGTTCTCTGGACTTTGTGGTGGTTTTATTATGATTGCAATGACTTATAAGTTCCTGTCTTTATCAGCGTTTCCGAACAATCGAGACTTTAGCAGCGAAATCGATATTCTTCATCACCAAGAGATGGACACAAATGGGTTGCAATAATAATGTATTATGAGTGTATATATAAACTGATTTACATTCAGTCGTTTCTGTTTTTACTATAATTTCTGACTAGTTATGTTCGGCGAAATATGCAAAGAGTTTGAATTGAAAGGGAGTCTTTGGTATCTAATTATTACAGTCTACACCGGTGTATGTTTAGCCTTGTTCATCAAGTTGTTTCATTAGAAATAGTGCTCGAAAGCATTCTGGCATGTGATTCGTGTGCCAATTTTAAAATTTTCATTTTGTTTTAAATATTGGATATCAGAAGCCCATCTTTTCATGGTAAGATATAACAACATCATTGTTGATTTAAATTGACCAATAAGTCAGTTAGATGTAATTGATAATTTTTCTCAGGGATTCACAATTCACCATTTTATTTACCTCTCCAAATCTATCTATGACCTTTGTTCAAAACAATAACACCTACAAATTCCCTGATTAATCAATCTTTATACCTTAAATTTTAATGGTTATCATGTGCAGGTTGTATCATAAGGTCTGCCATTGAGTAAACTGGCATGGTTTTGATTCCCCAGTTGTCCGTGACAAGGAGTAGGGTCACCTGTTCAACCTCGTGGGTTTCCTCCCACTGCTAAAGATCCCTATGCACAAGCGAATTATTGAAATAAAATTGAACCATATGTTAGTCCTGAAATAACCTAGTTTGTGTCGAGTGGACATTAAACCCCATTTCTCTCTTTCTCCCTAAGGAAGACGACAGACATTTATGCCATGCAGGGTACATGCTCCGTCGGAAATTATAATAGCTCTGTTAAACTTTATCGACAAAGCCAGGATTTGTGTCTGACAATGTTTGTGACAGGTGCCTTATTTCTTGGCTACTTTCAGATAATGCTGACTAATGTCATCGTTATCGAATTTGCGGTCAAAGTTTGTTATCTGTAATAGATCTATATCTGTTGTAAAAGTGACACATCTATATCTGGGTGTATGTCGTCAACATGATAGGTGAAGATAAAGAGATTAATTTGGATGAGATAAATTAATAACAAACTGCGTTTCAGCTGATCAACATTGTGTACAAATAAAATTATCTATGAACCCTAACATGGTTCTTGTCACGTACAGTCCTGGGATTAATCCCATGGCATGCATAGATGATGGCTGGCTTTATAATCTACTTTGCACATGTTGGAGATTCACTCTATTGCCCTAGTTAAATCATTTGTTATTGTGATTTAAGGTCCAACTATACTTATAATAGTGCAGAAGGACCACACTACACACAAAACATAACCGACAAAATAAACTACATAGACATTGCAAGAAATAATCCACATCAAATTAAGCTAATGGATGCAGGGACCAGCCGTAAGCATATACTTCGTTATACCGTCCCGGGCCTGTAATAATGCAGGTTTCACTCAAAATGTAAAAAAAAAAAATTTACCAGAAATCATGCGACCGATCTTGACATTGTTCATCTCTTTAATGGCGATAGTCTACCAGTGGATGTCATGATTTAGAACATCAAACAATATTAACAATAAGGTTGATAATCCGGATAGAAGCTTGGAAAATGCTAAAAAAAAGATAATAATTAAGTAGGGTGAGCAAATAGTTTTAACAGTTTCGAGTGAAGATCAGATTGACTCAGAAGCCCTATTTGGGCTGCTGTGGTGATGCTGATGGTTATGATAATAATAAATTTAATTTGATTGTGGGTCTAATGACAATCTGATTAAATTACAGATCCATATTTAATTGCTTTTTTTTTATACTTTCGATGGACTACAGTACATGAAGATCTGACCAGTTGTAGTGGGAGGTCGAGGCTTTTGACCCTGTGATGTCAAACATCTATTAATCAATCAGGGTTGATGTTTCTAGTGGGTTAACAACAGTTCCGTGCACAACACACCAAGAACTCACTGTAACAGATTGTTTTGTTGGTTATTTCCTCACATCAAGCAGTACGCCTGTTATATAACGACTTTTTCAGATCCTAGTGTAGTAAAGACAAGTAAAACGAAATTTTGAACTATAAAAAAACGGAACGAAATAGGATCTGTGTTTTAATCAGATTGAATCTAATGACTGACAATCCCGAGTGAAGATCAGATATTGGTTAAAATAAATACTCCATTTATTTTTTTCATTCCAGATCCATCAAGATGAAGGTGTTGATAATTTTGTCTGTATTGGTGGTTTTAGCCTGGGCAGCACCCCGAAAACCTGATTTTGGTTTATTGACTGATGTAGAAATCGATTACATCAACAAAGTTCAGACATCATGGAAGGTAAGGCCATAATTATATAATGATACACAAGTGGAACTGGGGCCTTGTTTATGAAGGGGGTTACAGTGGCTTAGTGTGTAAAACGCTGGCTCGCTAGCCTGGAGGTCGGGTGTTCAATCCCTGCATTGGGCAAGAAAGTTCATCAAGATTTTCTGGCTTGGTTCCCCCTTGTCAGTGATGCAAGACAGAGGGCCTGACAAGGACAGCTGTCTAGTTGTTCGGATGGTACTAAAAAAGTAGTCCTGTGTACACATTGGCATGTACGTAAAAGATCCCTTGACAGTTTGAATTCGATATAAGAGTAGGCCGTAGTGCCGCTGTCCAGGCAAAGTTTCCCTCATAGTCCACTTTATGGTGTATGCCCGTCTTCATTAGCCCAGTTCGGAGCAGAACAGTTTGACAATAAAAACTCCATTTCATTTCATTTCTGTTTATGAAGGCGGGAGTTAGGGGTGGATGGTCGAATGGTTAACGCGTTCACGTTGTATCATAAGGTCTGTCATTGAGTCAATGGGTGTTGTTTCGATTCCCCGGTTGTACGGGACAAGGAGTAGGGTCGCCTGTTCAACCTCGTGGGATTTCTCTGGGTCCTCCGGATTCCTCATACTGCTAAAGACCGCTATGCTCAAGCGAAGTATTAAAATAAAATTAAACCATATGTTAGTCCCGAAATGACCTATTTTTTGACATCAAGTGTTGATTATGGCCTGCTCTTGCATCAAGTTTTATTGAATAAGTCCCTAGGACTTTCAGTTAGTACCTCACAGGTTTCATTTTTAAACAAGAAATGTGACAGCTTTCCAGCATTGTGCAATACATATTTTTTTCTTCAGGCTGGTAGAAATTTTGCTGAGAATATTGACAAGAAATACATCTACAGATTGATGGGCGTGGCTGAAGGATCACAAAAATATCACGATCAACTTCCAATAAAAGTCCATAAAAAACAAGATTTACCTGAAAACTTTGATGCACGTGAACAGTGGCCAAACTGTCCAACTCTTAAAGAGGTCAGAGATCAAGGTAGCTGTGGTTCCTGCTGGGTAAGAATTTATTTCAGTATTTTCCAAAAGTAGTTCACCAGGGAACTCTTCTATGTATAGATATGTTCCTGAAGCAACGACCACCAGTTAGTTGTACATTACCCATTTTTAAATTGGTCCGAAATTCCCAAACTTTTAGTGGGTCATAGCATATCATAGCGTTAAAGATTAACGATCCCTAATTTTAATTTTAGGTGATATTAAATAAGAATAATTTCCACTGTCGGTTAGTTCTGACAAACTCGTGATTCAACAATGCATTAATTCTTGAAAATATGAATGCCTTAATTGGCTGTCTGAAATATGCCCAGACTGTCCCACATATGCCCAGACTGTCCCACATATGCCCAGATTGTCCCAAATATGTCCAGATTGCCAAAGATATGTCCAGTATGTCTCAAATGTGATTCCTGATTATGATTTAAACTTGACCATTCAGGCGTTTGGTGCTGTAGAAGCCATGTCCGACAGAGTCTGTATTGCATCCAACGGAACAGTCAACCTCCATATTTCTGCTGAAGACTTACTCACATGTTGCAGCCAATGTGGTTATGGGTAAGTCAAAAATAGACCAATCAGAATTTTTAAAAGTTAATAATGAATAACTATTTTAGGCATTTGGAGCTGTAGAGGCAATGTCTGATAGAATTTGCATTAGCTCTAATGGAAAAGTAAATCACCATATTTCTGCTGAGGATCTGATGACTTGCTGCCATCTTTGTGGATTTGGGTGAGGTTTCCATGGTAACCTTATTATGCCAAAACAAAATGCTTAGCAACCTCTTGTTTTGCTATGCTATACCCTATGCAGATTATTTATGTTAGAGCATGAGCGCATTAGTTATTATGTTGGGCTTTTTTTTACCTGTGTTCATTAATTAACCTGTGGTAAAGAATAATTAGTTATGTATCAAGCAGTGTTTACACGATACAACCAATCCAAATGGACGGATGGACAGCATGTTGCATGGATAGGACCAGTTCTATTCCCATCTAAAGGTCTGATGCACTAGCAAATCAAATTGATGGATCTATCCGTGACTGCATTAGAATATCTATATAGGAAACATGGACTTTGTGGAGCCCCGCGACATCAAAACTACAAGACGATGGGGGTGAAAAGTCACTGTTATTTTATTTAGTTACTAAGAAGGGGCAAATATGGCCTTACAATGAATAGAACCATTGTATCGTGTAAGCAGTCATCCAATATGTTGCATCCGACGGTTGTATGGATTGGGAAGTCATGGTGTCCAAGTGGAGGTCGCATGTTCGATCCCTGCATTGGCCGAGAAAGGATTTTCCGACGTGGTTTCCCCTTGTCAGTTGTATAGGACGGAGGACCCGACAAGGACAGCTGTCTAGTCGTTCGGATGGGATGAAATACTGAAGTCCTGTGTACACATAAAAGATCTCTTGACAGTTGGAATTCGATATAAGAGTATGCCATAGTGTTGCTGTCTGGGCTCAATTTTCCTCATAGCACACTGTATGGTATATGCCCGTCTTCATTAGCCCAGTCAGAGCAGAACTGTAGGACTTTAAAAACCCTGTTTCATGAGTAATTATATCTGCATATTTTTATTTTGAGATGGGCGCTTCTGTGTGATTATGTTTGTATTAGTTATGTCCATGAGGGATTTTATATTTATTTTGGTAGAAATGCTTCTGTAAATTATATTTGAAATTATTAACCATTTATAAAGCTATTTTTGTTTGGCATGCTTTTCCCATAAAATGAATTTGATTATGAATCACATTGTGTAGTGTGTACTTAAAGATACATTATGTACAATTTAGATAAAGAGCTAGTCATTCTTGCTATAATAGTTCAAAAATAGATAATGCAAAATGAATATATTGAAAATTTAATTCAAATTACTTTATTCTGAGCAGTGATATCAGCCTTTGAAGGTTTGACAAGATGTGTGCACTGAGTGTAATTACCGTACTGGTTGTTTGAAGTTTAGCCTCGCTTCACCATTTCAGCTATTAGATGGCTGGACCATTCTAATCTACTTAAAATCGGACCTGTCCAATGGCATCAGGTTTTGATTATGGTCTTTTCATGTTAATAAATGTCTAATTAATAGTTTATAAAACATTTAAGGCCTAAATAAATGGACAGGTTTACCTCTTGAATAATTCCTGTTAAAGCATTCATAATTTTTGCCAAAAAAACGTTTAATATGTTTGTTATCAAGTAAATTATTGATATATCTGAATTTCCAATCAGTTTCACACTGGTAATGTGAAAGCCTTCTTTCAATCTAATTAAAACACAGATCCTCTTCCTATTTGTTTCATTTTTTATAGGTCAAAATTGTTTTACTTGTCTTTACACTAGGATCTGGAAGAGTTATTATATAACCTGCGTTCTGGTTGATGTGGGGGATTAGCCAATGAAACGGTCTGTTGCAGAGAGTTCTTGGTGTGCAATGCAGAGAACTGTGGGCATCCTGCTAGAAACATCAACACTGATTGGTTAACCAAATGACTGAAGTCATAGGGTCAAAAGCTTCCCCCCGCCCCACACACACCTCAACTAGTTAGATTTTCATGTAGTAGAGGCCATTGAATATATAAAAAAACAAAACAAAATATAGATCTGTATTTTAATCAGCTTGGCCTTCTTCTAACACTGTACAAAATGATTGACTTTTAAGGTCGCACCCAGTATAGCTCTACATGTGACATCACATCATACTGCACCAATGACATGTGAATTGTTTACATCAGATCTAGTAATACAAACTGGTATCCGGCAGAGTGTTTTACTCATTTTACGCCTGCCTGTACTATTTTATGTACCAACTTACACTAAATAGGAAATATTTTTTATCCAGATAAACTTCATTCACCTTTATTTATTTTGCTTATTTAAAAAAATTGTTTTAGAATTTAATTTGGAGAAGAAGAAAGGTTATTAACTGGCCACAATGTTTTTTAATCAGTGATAGTAGTGGCCAAGCAGATATTTACTGCTGATTAAGTTTATGAATTTCTTCTTCAATCATGTCACATTGGTCTGACCAATCAGATTGTTGGTTACAATTTTTTGTTAGCTGAAGGGTTCTGTTTTTATTATTCATCAATCATGTCACATTGGTCTGACCAATCAGATTATTTGTTACAGATGTAATGGTGGTTTCCCTGCTGCTGCTTGGGATTTCTGGAAGACAGAAGGTCTTGTTACTGGAGGCCAATACAATTCACACCAGGTTTGTTTTTTAAGTTAATTTAACATATATTGATTGGAATATAATTGAACCATGTGTTAGTCCCAAAATGATCTAGTTTGTGTCGTTAACCCCATGTCTCTCTATCTTTCTCTTAGTATAACTTGCCTGTTTTGATTGACATCTGGCATGTCTCATTGAGTAAGGCAGTGGCTCATCAACCAGGTGGTTTCTCCTAACAAGGAGCAGTATCTAGTCATTTGGATGGGACAAAAATGTGAGGTCCCATGTACATGTTGGGGTAGCCTACCTACACCTAACAGAACCCTCAACAATTGGAATTCGATGAAGATCAGAACGAAACGCTGCTATATGATCAAAATAACCTTCATAGCACACTGCATGAAGTATGTCCATTTACATTTCATGCAGAAAAGCAGGACATTAAATCCCATTTCATTTCATTGAAGTCTAGCAGAATCCATGATCATTCACATATATGTATATATATATATTTTAGGGATGTCAACCCTATGAAATAAAATCCTGTGATCACCATGTTGTGGGCCATCTTAACCCTTGTGGTGGTGAAGAAAAAACACCAAAATGTTCTCATACCTGTGAAGCTGGCTTTAATGGAACTTACAGTTCAGATAAACATAAAGGTAGGGTGAAACTAGCTAACTTACAGTTCTGATAAACATAAAGGTAGAGTCAAACTAGCTAACTTACAGTTCTGATAAACATAAAGGTAGGGGGAAACTAGCTAACTTACAGTTCTGATAAACATATAGGTAGAGAAACTAGCTGACTTACAGCTCTGATAAACATAAAGGTAGGATCAAACATAAAGTTAGGGTGAAACTTGCCAACTTACATAACTTAAAAGCATAAAGTTAGAGTGGCTTTCTAAATTTACCTTAAATTCCCTAATTTATGTTGCAACTGTGAGAAAATTATATTTTTTGCTCCAGGAACTTCATCTTGTTCTTATTCTCCGCCAATTCAATTACAATTGACATTAAACTTAGCACACTTGTTCCTTGACAATTACGTACCGATTGACAGACTTAGATATTAGATATGACATCACAATTCAAAGATGGCTGTGATGATGTCGTATCGTACTCGGTTCCTTGTTCATAGTACGCTCTTACTTGTTTTCAATTATCTATGCATTTAAGAAACTTGGAACATTTAAACAAACATTATGTCAGATTTAGATAAAGAGCTGGTCAGTCTTGCTATAATACTGGGGGGGCTGGATGGCTGAATGGTTAGCGTATGCACGCTGTATCATAAAGTCTGTCATTGAGTCAACTGGCGTGGTTTTGAATCCCCGGTTGTACGTGACAAGGAGTAGGCTCGCCTGTCGAACCTCGTGGGTTTACTCCGGGTTTCCTCCCATTGCTAAAGACCCCTACGCGCAAGCGATTTAAAGAAATAAAATTAAACCATACGTTAGTCCCAAAATGACCTAGTTTGTGTCGTGTGGACGTTAAACCCCATTTCTCTCTCTCTCTCTCTCTCTGCTATAATACTAATGATGTTTAAAAATAGATAATGCAAAATGAATATATTGAAAATTTCATTCAAATTACTTTAGTCTAAGTGAAGTTATGTGTGTTTGAAGATGTACAATAGTGATGTATATCATTCAATAGTCACAGTTTTAACACCTTAGTGACATAACACCTAGTTAATGACTTCTGCCTGATTAGTAGCAATTTCTATGAACTAATAAACATTATGTAAATAAAATGATGTCGTTGATCTGCCAGTGTCGTATAGATTCATTTTTAAAAGCTATTTGTTGCTTAGTCAACAATATCAACTTTACAGTGTTAATCATACATTATGCAATAGTTAAATCTTCCTATTTCAGGCCTTTCTGTAGGCCTGAAATGTTATCTAAATTATTAATTAGACATTAATTAACTTATCCAGACCATAATCAGCTCTCGATGTCATCTTATGTGTCAGATTTTCACTGGATTTGAATCCGATCTGCTGCTGATTAAAGCCAAAAATGGATAATGAAGACTATGTTTTTTATCGTACCGACTTTAGTAATGATGATTGAGGCTAGGCTTAAAATTCCAAACCTAATATCTTGGTTCAGAGTGGAGAAATTTGACTGAAATTTTCAACATATTCTATTTACATTAACTAGTTTTTAACTATTATAGTGTGAACAGTCAACTCTTTATCTAATCTCCCATAATGTATCTTTAATAATTTATAGTTCATATACTTGACAATAGAGTCCATTAATATAGTTTATATACATGTAATATTTGAAGCCAAAATAAAGACCTGCAATAGGCATCTTTAGATTACAGATTTTTCTGTTTATTTTTAAATTGTTTCAATTTTAATTGATTTTCAGGAAGCTCCTCTTACCAAGTAAGAAGTGTAGAACAAGTTATGACTGAATTGGTGAATAACGGACCAGTAGAAGCTGCCTATACTGTCTATGCTGATTTTGTAGCTTATAAATCAGGTCAGTTACACAACTTTCTTATAAACACTTTCTACTACTTTCGTTTTCGTTATGGGGACAACATGGTCTTAACACATACGGTTTAGATCATATGATATGAATACTTTCTACTACTTTCATTTTATTATGGGAGCCACATGGTTTAACACATGCGGTTTGGATCATAAGGTCTGTCATTTCCACCACTTTCTATATGATATGAATACTTTCTACTACTTTCATTTTTATTATGGAAACCACATGGTCTAATACATGCGGTTTAGATCATAAGGTCTGTCATTGCCACCACTTTCTATATGATATAGATACTTTCTACTTATTATTTGGACCAAATGGTCTAATGCTGCACTTTAGATCGTAAGGTCTGTCACTGAGTCAAGTGGTGTGCATGGCAAAGAACCCTAGACTGTTGGAATTCAATAAAGAGTAGACGAAAACCCTGCTGTGCAGACAAAATCAGCTATGTTGGGTTAAGAAAAATAGGATGTTAAACCCCATGTCATATAATTTCATTTCTTTCCAAATGAATTCTCTGAAGATCATTTAATTACCAATCACAAGAATATTTAATCTTGACCAATATTTTTCAGATTTCAGTTTTACTTAATTTTTAGTTGTTTAACAGGACACCATGCATGCTGCTCTTGGAGGTCACGCTGAGTTCCCTGAAGATCATTTACCAGTCACAAGAATATTTAATCTTAACCAATATTTTTCAGTTTGCATTTTTGCTTAATTTTTAGGTGTTTACCGACACACCAGCGGTGCTGCTCTTGGAGGTCATGCCGTCAAAATTTTAGGTTACGGAGTTGAGAATGGAGATAAATACTGGTTGGTTGCCAATTCCTGGAACTCAGACTGGGGTGATAAAGGTAAGAATAAAATGGTTTTGAAACTTTTCTGATTTGACAGAATTGTCATGAAGTGACATAAAGTCTGATAACATTGAGATCCCGAGTTCAAGTTTGGTGTTGGCCTAGAAAGTTCATCAGGATTTTTCATTATGGTTCCCCCTTATCAGTAGTGCAGGACAGACTGACTGGCAAGGAACAAAGTATAGTTGTTAGGATTGGACAAAAAAATGAGGATGCATGTTCACCATTGGTGTGCATGTAAATGATCCATTGGAAGTTGGAATTCGATATAAAAGTAGCCAGTAGTGCCACAAAAGTTTCCTCATTCCTTCATTGATTGGCCCAGTAGAAGCAGAATAGTAGGAAGATGAGCTTTGTTTCATTTCCAAAAACAGATATGGGGCAGCATTGGGTTGTTACAAAACGTAAAGAACATATTCTCAGCTGGAGATGGTGCACTCAAAGTTCTTGAGTGACTCTGTGCATTAGAGTAATTACGAGATGCAGAACCCTAAAAAATTTAAAGGGACTATCCCGGATTGAACAGTCTCAAAATTAAAAGTCCGAGTATGTATGAAATTTAAGCACCAAAATATAAAGGAATGGTGTATTTACCCTGTCTCAAAATTTCAGCTCAAAATATTGAGTCATTTTGACGTGAACGTCAAAACTGCTTATCCGGACACGTAACCCTTTTAAGATTTTGGGTGAATTCTTTCTTTGGGTGACCTGATAATCGATTCCCGTTCCTTTAGAGGTTTATACAGTGAATGACCCATGTGCTGTACTTGATAACAAAAGATAAATTTCTCCTGCACATTATTTTTATAAAATAAAAGTCTGGTTTTATCAAGACACCGCATAATACAGCTTTGGGCACCGGTCCCCACTTCCAGATAAAGACTAACGGGTTTAAGTTGTTTGAAAACGTATCAAATATATTGAGTTCGTTGCTCGGCCCTAAGGCAGACGATTTTAAGGGATTTTAACTCAAAATTAAGCAGTTTTATTCTCCAAAATATTATCGGGATTGGCCCTTTAAGAGTTCTTGTTTTATTCAACCAAGCGTGTAGCTTGACTAGTCAGAGAAGGACTGTGCGATTTTTCAACCCTGGTCCTTTATGTGTAAAGGATGGCTCAAGGTCAGAAAAACGATGACCCTAAAGCTCCTAAACACACACCTACCCCTCCCCCCCCCCCATTAGTACACGTTTTTACATGCTTAACGTTTTTTTTACTTTTTAATTTTCAGGTTTTTTCAAAATCCTTAGAGGTGTTGATGAGTGTGGAATCGAAAGTCAGATCGTCGCTGGTGAACCAAGAATGTAAAAATAAAAACTATCAAAAAAATTCATCCTCATCATTATGATTGTACATATAATACATTGACTTCTGCTACATCCCAACCTACACAGTTGAAATGTTAAATTCAGGCGATTTATTCATGTATTTGAATAATTTCGAACAGTGTTTAGGTTGTTTTTCTCCACCATAATGTATTCAATTAAGTATTTTTATAATAATGGTGTACTCCATATCAAAACAGCTCAAATAGTGTTAGCACTATAAACAAAACTAGTGTTAGACTGACGCCTTGTATTGGTCACAAAACCCACACAACTAGTGAATACAGCCAAATACTATTTATAAATGCTTCGGTGAAGAAACGATTTATAAATGCTTCTGTGAAAAAACGTCTAATGCTCATGTCATTGTCTAAATTAGGTAGTTGATTGTACATTAAAAAACTCGTGGACTATTCTGTCTTTCAAACATATGAAGTTTGAGTAAAAATTTAAATGGGGTTTTTTTGCAGAAGGATTACAATCGTTTATATATGGGTTATTTCCCTTATTTATTAATTTAAACTGACAACATTTCTCAGATTAATTTATGTAAAATTCCTTAAAAATGTGATAAAATTTTTCTTAAAATTTGTATTCTTATAGATTTTTAATTTGTGATTAATACACTACTTTAAAATTATTTCTTTTTGTAGTTTATATTTAACTGAAAGAGCTAGCTCACTAACCAACATACTCCTTGCAGTGTTTCGTTTGATTATAGCTAATCCCACTACTCACTGCTGTAAACAAAGCAAATTCTTGTTCTAAATTATGACTGGTCAATAGTCCGATTAACAACCAATAGTTGACTGCGTAACAATACCAAACAGAGCTCCAAATTGGACCAAATATGTTTACATAACGTTACGTCATGACTCACGATTTTATTATGCCCAATTAACCAGTGCATAGCAGAATATTGCAGAAAAACTAATTGTGTGACAAACAAGGTTATCAACTGTCAACTGAAGCTAATCCAGCAATGGCCAGAGAGGGATTTTTCGGGCCATTGCTTCAGGAATATGACTAACCAGCTGGTTTTGATTTTGACCCGGGACTTGGCAAAGAAAGTTCCTGGGGATCTATTTTAAAATTATTTCTTTCTGTAGTTATATTTAACTTAAGTTAACTTTAGGAGCTAGCTCACTAATCAGCTGGTTTGGATTCTGATCCAAGACTTGACAAAGAAAGTTCCTCGGGATCTTCCTGCATGTTTTCCCTGGTGCAGGACAGTGGGCTTGTCAATGGATAGAGTCTAGTCGTATGTAAAATCCAAAGCCCTTGTACGTGTTGGACATGTAAAAATATCGTTTGCTGTCGGAATTTGACGAAGAGTATGTCTGTCTCATATAACATTACATATATGGCGTACACCTCTCTTCATTATCCCTGTTTTTGCAGCGAAGTAGGGTATGCTTCTAAGGTTTTATAGGAGCCACGGTGGCTAAGTGAGTAAGACGCTGGCTTACCAGCCTGGAGGTTGTGGGTTCGATCACGGAGAAAGTTCAGCGAGATTTTCCAGCGAGGTTTGCCCATGTCAGCGGTGCTGGACGGAGGGTCTGACAAGGACAGCTGTCTATTTGGATGGTACGAAAAACCGAGGCCCCATGTACACATTGGCATGCACATAAAAGATCCCTTGACAGTTGAAATTCGATATAAGAGTAGGCCATAGCACCTCTGTCCAGCCAAAATTTCCCTCATAGCACACTGTATGGCGTATGGCGGTCTTCATTCGCGCAGTCGGAGCAGAACTGTAGGACTTTAAACCAAATTTCATTTCATTTAATTTTCATTATTCCTGTTCATGCAATAATGTATGTATGCTGATTATACCCTGTAAGGTTTTATAACATTTTATGTAATAGTCCGGCAACTGGCCAGCAGTAGAAATGTCGCATATAATTTCTGACTCCTAACAGCAGAAAAGTAAAGACTTCAATCCCATGTCATTTGATTTCCCAACAGACAGAGGAAAGCTAGAATATAAAACACAATTTCTTTGAATTAAGCTGGGGTTCTAACACAATATAAAATATCCATGTTCCAAAAATCTTATATATCTCTGCTTATACATGATTGCCGAACTATAAAAATTAGTTTGCTTATAAATAAATTTAAGCAGTAACCCGTCATGTTCCTTATAGATTGTCGATATCTAACTGGTTTCAACCAAACCAGTAAAGAAGATAATGACCCTACGTGAAGATTGTTCAGTCTTAAATCGCTATGAGAAATAACCTCTCCCATTTTCTGGGTTAAGCCTTGGGCCTACATGATGTCCCAGTAGTTAAAGTTCAATTACGTCTTAAAAGACATCGTCAAAAACACGAAATTGCCAACAGAAAAGGGGATGAACTTTCCTTACACCCTCTTGCGCCTGGAACCAAGGCCCTCAAAAAGCCGCGCTGGTCCGTCGATTTCATTCTCATGTAGAACAAAATAAGAGAGAGAGAGAGCGAGAGAGATAAATTGGGTTTAACGTCCATTCGACACAAACTAGGTCATTGCGGGACTAACATGGTTCAATATTATTTCAACAATTCGCTTAGGGCTTGAGCAGTGGGAAGAAAGCGGAGGACCTGGAGAAAACCCACGAGGTTGGACAAGATACCCTACCCCTTGTCACGTACAACCACGGAATCGAAAGCACGCCAGTTTACTCAATGACAGACCTTATGATACAGCGCGCACGTGCTAACCATTCGGCCATCGAATCTCCGAATACTGAATAACATGTTGGTAGTGATTATGTTAGAGATACACTCGTAACTATTGTAGACCTACTGTCATTCTGACTACGCAGTTTTATTTATTTAAAGCGAAAAAAATGGCAAAATAGTTAATTTGGTATCCTCCTCTGTAAAACGAATCAGAACCCAGTGGCGCACAGGGAGGGGGGAGAGGGGTTGGCGGCCCGGGCGTCCAATTCAGGGGACATTCAATCAAGTAGTGAAATCAAATTCATCAACTCTTTATTAAGTGTTCGTAATTCTTAGTTCTTAATTCATAGTCCTTAAATCACGTTTCTTCATTTGTTGTCGTATTTCGACAAATGTTGATTTTAAGATACAAATGTTAATTTTAGTGTACCGAAATACGACAACAAATGAAGAAATAAGATTTAAGGATTATGAATTAAGAAAAAAAAATTAAGAACACTGAATAAAGAGTTGTTGGCTCTTTCATATTTTGATACTATAGCTGTTGTCGTTCTCACATTTCTGAGTATCAGGCCCTATTCTGTGGGTCATAACAATCAAGGAGTTGGCCTCGGACATTACCAAACCTCTCCCCTCTAACTGTCGGCAGAGCAGTTCAATTTCCAGTGATCAAAGTCTGTGTATTCCTAGACCATTTTTTTGAGATCAAGATGCAATCGTCAATTGTCCATAATTCTCAAAAATGCATGTATTAAAGCGTTTTGTTTCAGTTGGAGAGACTGTTGTTTTCCTCAATAGCCAAACTGTAGATATAGTGAAAACATCTACCCAAAGCCTTGAAGATAAATTCTGCAGTGCATGGTTCACTACTGTTTTTACAACGTGTGTGGTAGCTAGTGTGAGTGGATATATACCACAATGGGAATGTACATCTCCAAAATATCTGACAGTAAGGGGATATGGAAAGATTGTGAACATGTCGATTGCCCCGCGAACATCTGTAGCAGTGCGGTTGCTTAGCGGGGTGGGGGGATCCTCCTGGTCTAGCCCAATAAGTAGACGTACCAGTTGCACTCCGATGCTGATAGCTCCAAGAATGAAACGCAGCGATACTACGACCTACTTTTATTTCGAATTACGACTGTCAAGATTTCTAAATACGTACATGCCAATGTGTACACGGGACCTTGACTTTTTGTTCCATCCGAACGACTAGACGATGTTCCATGTCAGGCCCACAGTCCCGCACCACTCACAAGGGAGACATAAGGCGGCAAAATCCCGAGGAACTTTCTCGGCCAACACCGGGATCGAACCAGATAAGCGAGTCACCGCGTCTCCCAGCTACCACGTCTTCCACCTATATTTATATAAATTCAAATCTAAATAGTTTACAAGTAGGTGACAATTTACTTTAAAAAATACCATTCCAAATCTCAATACAGATAAGATAAACTGAAGTAAAACCCACTGACTCTATCAGTTACAACAATACTGAATGACAACATGAGGGTGGTGCTAAGTGCGATTATATTGCTACTGGCGTTAGTGACTGTGGATTGCCAATGTCCGGACAAGGAACCCGACCTTCGACGATGGTCTCAAGCAAGTACCTGGAATGGAAATCTGGTAACGTTTTTATTTTATATTTTTTGTGTGATAGTAAGAAGAAGTAGAAGCTGTGTTAAAGGAAATCGCTAATATTTTGGATCTAGAAATTGACACAAATGGGTAGCAACGCATATAATATTGTAATATGAAAATATATAAACTGATTTACATTCAATCGTTTCCGTTTTTACTCTTAATATCAAATCAGTTATGTTCGGCAAAATACGCCAGAAGTCTCAATCGAATGACAATCGCTAGCGTCTGGTTATTCCAGTCTACGCCAATAGTATTTATTGCGCATTCTCTCCAGATAAGAATATGTAGTCACCGATTGTTGACATGAGTTAATTGTGGAATATATCTAGCCTCGCTCTTTCTGGTCACTTGTTACAAATGACGATGAAACGCATTATGGTACACGATTAATGTACCAATGGTAAAATGTTTATTTTGTCTTAAATATTGGATATCAGAAGCCCATCTTGTCCCCGTAAGATCACGGCATCAATGTTGATTTAAATTGATAAATAATTCGTGTTTTCAATGTGGAAGACTTTGGATGATATTGAGTTAGAGATTTAGCTACTTTAATTAGTGTAGTTTGTCATTTTAGAATGTCCCAAAAATGTATGGGATATGCTCTGAAAGAGTACAAAAACAAAACATTCTTTAAAAATAAAAAGAAGTAAAATATACATTATACGATTTGTGAACGCCATTTTTCTGTTTTTTGGTCTGACTGAAATATAGGGTATAAGGTCACATCGAGTCTGGGAGTGACAGTTGTCGACGATATCACGCAAGGTGAAAGCGAACGTTAAGCTTTAAGGAACGAACGAGCCATTAGGGCCGAATTTACCATTAGACGTAGAACTCACCAGTTATTTGGGGGACTACTGATAAGTTTGGCATAGGGACCACAAGTAGGTAAATTCGGCCCAGACCGAAACATGCCAACATTTCTATACATGAGGGTCCACTGATTAGTTGGGGCTAGCTAGTATCTGCAAGTCGGTAGACCCGGCCCTAGGTGTCATAAATCTACTGGCACGTAAAAGAACAATAAGAGTGGGAATTCGAAATAAGATCAGGTCGTAGTGTCGCTGCCAGGGCACAATGGAGTAACTGGCTGGCTTTGCACTGCTATTTTGGGTATTGGCGTTCTACTTCTTCCGGCTTCACGAAACATCAGGGGGGCGCTACCCGTGCATCGCTAGGTAAACGGCTGTTGTATGATAAAAGTCTGTCTCTTAACAGCTCAGTTGTATCAAATATATATAAATATAACAGGCATGAGGTCCTAGGGTCGATACAATTGTTGTCCGAGAAAGTTCTTCAGGATTTGTCCCGTTGCTGGGCCTGGTCAAGAACAACAAATAGGCGATGTCCCGCTTACACGTTGGGATGCGGTGAAGAGCAGGTTGAAAACACCGCGGACCGGGTAATATTTCACTCTCGATCGCCTTCATTAGCCAGGTTGATGCAGAAAAAGTAGACCACTAAACCCTATTGCTTTTTGTTGCTAGGCACAGCCGTTCTGCGACGCCATTCTTATTGTTGTGACCGAACATGGTTTGTGTTTCAGATAGAAAGATATTCGCGATGTTAGCATCTGTCTAGGGTAATGTAGGGAAAAATGGAGAATCGATAAATTTTGGCTTTAACTGTGATAACTGAGCGCGGTGACCATTGATTTGGCATGCGGGACCAGATAGCATGGGGACACCAAAAATCCGAGACATTTTGGGAGCCGGGGTGGATCAGTGAATAAGATGTTGGCTCGCTATCCTGGAGGCCTCGTTTGCGTTGATCGAGAAAGTTCCTAGGGATTTTCCGGCGTGGTCCCTCCATGTCAGAGGAGCAAAACAGAACAGAGAATCTGAACAGGGACACCATATTGCTCCTGTTTGCTCACTACACTTATTATTTTAGCATTTTACGAGATTCTATTCGGATTATCGCCCTTATTGGTAAAATTGTTTGATGTTCTAACTCATGACGTCAACTGGCAGACTATCGCCAGTGAGGACACGACCACTGTCAAGATAGGTCGCATTATTTCTGTTAACGTATTTTTTGTATTCCTGATTGTTTTCAAACTTGAGCGAAGTCTGTGTCACTACAGGCCCGGGACTGTACAGCGCAGTGGACGCTTACGGCTGGCCCCCGGATCCATTCACTTGATTTGATATTTGTTTGTTTGGTGCAATGTCAATTTTCTGTCTTGTCCGCAGGTTTATCTTGTAGATTTTTGATTTACGTGTAGTGCGGTCCTCCTGCACTTACTATATAGTAGTAGTTCGGATGGTTACGAAAAACTGAGGTCCCGTGTACACACTGGCGTGCACGTAGAATAACCCTTGGCAGTTGAAATTCAATATAAGAGTAGGCCATAGTGATGCTGTCCGGGCACATTTTCCCTCATAGCACACTGCATGGCATATGCCCGTCTTCATTAGCCTATATGGCACAGATCAGTAGGACGTTAAACCCCATTTCATTACATTTTGGGATGTGTGGAATATGGTGGTATCAGTTTAATGGCGGCTAATTTTCATTTATGTCCCATTCTTTGTGATTATTTACTTTCTGTACATGTCTTATATAATTCGGTGTACAAGTGGCCAAACAACTTTGGCAAAAGAGTGTCGCGATGGTTTTTACTTTCGACTTCGGATTGAAAGCTTATGAAGTGTATGTAAATAATACGTTTCTACTTGGATTTGCGGTGGCTCAGTGAGTAAGATGTTGGCTCGCTAACCTGGAGATCCCGTGTTCGATCTGGATTTTCAGGTGTTGTTCCCCCTTGTCAGTGGGACAGGAAGAGGACCTGGCAAGGGACGAAAAACCGAGGTTCCGTGTACACGTTGGCGCACATGATAAAAAGCAAGGGCAGTTGGAATTCGATAGAAGAGTAGGTCATAGAGCCCGCTTTCCGGGACACATTTCCCCTGGCACGCTGTATGGGTTATGTCCGTCTTCATTATCCCAGTCGGGGCAGAACAGTAGGACGTTAAACTCCATTTCATTTCATATCAGGTTTCTACTTTATCAACCACCTCGTCTCCCATCTTCTTGTCGTCTAAGTCGTTGTACAGGTGACCAACTAAAAAACGTTAACGATTTTTTCTATTAAACCGTTGCCACAAATGTCAAGATGGAGGGGCACAGACTGCTGAGAAACAAACATAAGGGTGCAGCTCTGTTATCTGTCTCGTCAAAAAGAATTGACCCCACTTGCTCGAGAATTCCACATGTCGTTTCTGAACTGATAAGAAGAATCACACTATGCTATGTTAACCTTATCATCTTTCGAGAACAAATTCAAATGGTATTTCTTGACCTTGGTTATAAGAAAAAAATGAAAGTGTTTAATATTTTCCTTGGAAAACAAAGCCAGTTCATAAGCTAAGAAATTTCTAAACTGCAGAAATGGAATTCCAAACTACAAGGGTGGACTGGGTGGCCGGGAGCTCCTGTGCCTGTCCACGTTACGGGTGCGAGAAACTTGTAGAAAAACTGACTGTAAATGGTGCTTTCTAGAGTAATAGTATGATATTTCGAGCTTATGCACAGATTTAGCTTGTGGCAATCTTACCAATTTATCAAAAACGACGTAAATCCAAGGACCCCAAAACAAACATAGAGCCCCATAAGTAACGTCTTTAGGGGCGCCCAAACCTACCAAACTCACAGGTTCATCCCCATGCAGTCCAAACTAACATTGACCTGGTCCGGATTCCTAGATGCATTTACGAGCAAATGAAATTTCCCATTTTCTTTGGTGAAAGAAGAAAGTATTTATGACATACACCCATGGAATAACACAACGTGCTACATTTTTATTAACATTTTGATTAACATTTTGATTCTTTCAATTTATCCATTGCTTGTTTAGCGAGATCGGTTTTTTTTTTGGTCCAAATAATTCGGCGGCCTTAAACTATGCATACTAATTTGCCGTTTTCAGTGGTGCTGCAGGACAAAGGCTTGGCAAGGAACGGCGTCTAGTCGTTCGAGTGGAACAAAAAAAAGAGCAACAAAACAAACAAAAAACAAACAAACAAACAAACAAACACTTGGTGTGCGCGTAAAAGAACCATTGACAGTTTGATTCAATTTCTGTCCAGCTAATATTTCTTTCATAGCACACAGCATGGCATATGTTCGTCTTTATTATCCCGGTTGGAGCAAAAAGGTAGAACGTCATACATTCATTACTATACACACTCAAGTTGCTTGACATCGGTTTTCGATTGTCAGTCCAGAACGTTCCGAATTCACGGAATTGCAATCGAGTGACGCGAAATTCAGTCCTATCACGGTTCTGTCAGTCCCAACAACTGAAGTATTGAGAGTAGAATCGTGGCGCTTCTTGTAGCACACTACAACCCCGTATGCCGTGGTCATTATCCAAATTGGTGTAGAATGGCGTATGTCCATTGTGCAGAAAAATAGAATATTACTCACTCACAGGAACACATCATCAGAGATTTTAACCGTTATTTGATTTTTTTAAAAATAGAAACCAGGACTGGGCTCAAAGGTGACTATTTCCAACGCTGCAGTATTACTAGATGAAACTCCTCCAGAACTGGAAAGCATTACGATCGAACCCAATGGAAGACTTGTATGGGGCACAGATGGTGACTATAGCCTGACGCTCAAATACATTCTTATTCATGGACGAATGGATATTGGTTCTGAAGACTGCATATTTAATAGAAAGGCGCACATAACATTAGTAGGTAAATATCACATGGCAATTTATTTCCAAAACACCAAATAAGTTATAAAACAAATCTCTTTCAGATTGCAAGAACATGAACATTTGTTTTACTTTTCATATTTTATATGACATTTTGTGTGTACTGGGGCCTGTTTCACGAAATTTTAACTAAGATAAATTCAAAATTTTAGTAATTTGATTGGATAATATTAGATTGTTTTTAGTGCTTAGCCAATCAAAATTGAAGTATCTACCAAAATTTGGATTTTATCTTTAGTTAAAATTTAGTGGAATAATCCAAAGCGTATTTTATTTATATCATAAATGGAGGAAATTGGCCAATGGACACTGTGGTGAGTGTGATATGATTTCCAATTCGACAAAACGGTGATTTCTTAAAACTCGTACTGTATTAATACTATTTAAGCGATGGACATGTAGTTTGGGGTGAAGTTGTCAAACATTCATATTGTCCAGCATGTGAATTATTTTACTTTAAATATTGTACTCGTTTTCTCGGGCCATGTAATGTTGCGAGACGCCCAGTTGTAACATTTAACCATGGGGCCAAAAACGTCATATAGTCCAGGGCCACATCATGTCTAAATCCGAAGTGATGAAATGGAGGAACATTAGCACCAGTTGCCCGTGTTGGAGCTCATGTTATATACACAAAAATCTGAGGACAGTATTAGATAGTTGTTGGTGGTATTCACGAGTTTGGCACCTGTCGCCACCCGCCAGTGTTAGAGCCCATGCAGATTGATCCACATAATTGTGTCCGTTTTATATTTATAGGAAACCGAGGACAATATCGGATAGTTGTTAGCGGTATTCACGAGCTGGGCACCTATCGCCAGAGTTTCATAGAAGTTTTGTTTTTACGACGAATTTTTCCTATCCTTATGTTTACAGGGATTCGAGGGCAGTATGGGATAATTGTTGGCGGTATTCACGATTTGGTCACCTATCGCCAGTGTTGATGTCCAAAGTGTTCCATAGAAATGTGTGGATAATTGTTGGTGGTATTCACGAGTTTGCCACCTGTCGCCAGTGTTTCATAGAAATTTGTTTTTTATGACTTGTTTTTCCTATCCTTATGTTTACAGGGATTCGAGGACAGTATCGGATAATTGTTGGCGGTATTCACGAGTTTGACGAGAAGTTTATTGGCGTGGCTCCGGGAGGAACCCTTGAAATACACGCAGAGAGAAAGTTATCGTGGACAAAACTTACAAAAACTGTCCCGAAAATAACCTCTGCAAATGGACTTATTTATAGGCACGAAGTAAGTCTTTTTATAATGTTGCTTCTGAATCCAGTTAGACCCATTAATGGGAAAAACGCGTACAAGACAATGTTCAAAAAACATACTTCGAAGTACCCGGTATCGGAGGACCAAGAAGGGGTAGGCATACTTGGATATGAAGACACGCTGCAACTACATACATATGAGCATTTTAATCAGAATAAAATTGTAAAATATTTGAATAATCAACAAATGCTTAGCCTTAAAGATACATTATGGGAGATTTTAATAGAGAGTTGGCCATTCTTCCTATAACAGTTCAAAAATAGATGATGAAAGAAGAATATATTGAAATTTTCAGTCAAATTACTTTATTCTGAACAAAGTTATTACCACTGTAATTTTTGACTAGAATTGGGAGTCAACTTTCTCTTCACCGTCTCCGAGAATGGCCGATCGTTTGATTGACTCCACCTACATAATCTCGATTATCAAGTAACGTTTCCAATGGCTGTGGTACCGTTAGCCTATTCGGTTTGAGACGGGGTAGCAATTCAATTCGTATCACATTTATTTTTACTACAAATTAAAAATAAGACTTTTAATATATAGATAAGAAGCGAAAGTTTGAAAGGAATGGACCAAATCAATGAGGCATAATAATTATAGACGACTTCTTGTTAGCCTGCGTGTATTCTTGTACCGTAGTAACTGGGGTAGGCCTACGTAACTCCCGAAGCAGACAAATAGGAAACAGTGATCCAATGGGGCTGCAATTCAACTGGGGTGATGTTAGCTGCGATGTTTATCAATTTTTCTGTAAACGCAAGTGACAAAAGAGCGTATAATACCGACATCCAAACTCTCATTTTAACCACAACTAAACATAATATCAAGGCCGTATATATCGAACTTTCAATCAAATTGACTGACATGCGGCCTCGCTCAACAGCGGCCTCGCTTCGCACACTCTATCATTTAGCCTCGATCTAAAATTTCCGGGAGTATGAAGTCAACGTAACGGTTAATCTCCGCTTACGACGCCATTTAAAAATTTAATCAATCAATGAAATCCTGTTTAAATCCAAGCCGAATCCAAGCCATCCGTTCGTCTACAGAGTTGATTTTGTGCTTGTTATGTAAATAAAGATCTAATTTATAATTTCTATGACATCTGAAGCCTAAATAAAGACTTGCAATAACCAGATTTAGCTGTTGCATAATGTATGTTTAATAGGCAGGACTCGTGCCAGACTTTTTTTGCGCTCATGACAAGGCCAACTTCTTGCACCCGAACACAAATAATGCCAACGTTGAGTTTCAAAAGCAGATGTGTTTGTTGAATAACAGATGTGTCTGTTGAAGAATTGCAGAACAAACAAAACATGAAGATGGGGAATTTATTTTATTTAAAGTCCAAGAATAGCCAAATGAAGCTATTTCGCACACAACATGAATTCGTGAGTAAAGTGGGGACTGGCTGTTGATAGCTAAGCTTTCATGAAATGCTACAGGGTTTTTGTTGTGTCACCCCCCCCCCCCCCCTACCTTTAGACACAGCTTCTAATGAAACTTGGAACAAGTAAGAGGAATAGCAACCCAATCAGACCATGTTTAATGAAATGTTACAGGGTTCTGTTGTGTCTCAGACAGACAGTTGGAAACCCGGTATGGTGGTATACGTCTTTGACGAGAAAACTGGTAAAAGTTTATCTGGAGAATATTTCTTCTTAGGAAATTATGAACCTAACTTGTCACAAATAGATGTATCTAGACTTGTCACATTATTAAATGGTAAGTATTCAAAGTATGATATGTGATAGGGAGATATCATCGTGTAGACCTCAAGAGGTCTTGCTATTCACCTATTTGCTTATTCGAGAACGGGGCTTGGGGGTGGGCGAATGTCCGTCTAAGGCGTGTGTTTTAGATCAGAAGGTCTATCAATTGGCGTGGTTTGTACGTGACAAGGAGAATGGTCGCCGTCCAACCTCGTGGGTTTTCTCCGGGTCCTCCAGTTTCCTCTCATTGCTAAAGACCCCTACGCGCAATACCATAAAATTACGATATCGTTTGTGAAGATGTGTAGTGATAATGGCGTTAAGAGAAAATCAAACGTATTATATCGATAGATATGACATCGTTTAGGTGAGATATGAAACTAGTTGGAGGAAATATGCAAATGTAATGTGAAACCTGTTATCGTTTGAAATGATAAATGTGTCTATATTCATGCTTGTTAAACATAATATGGTGGTCGAAAGCATCCATTTAGAACATCATGTTTACATGTGTAAGGCAAAAATCGATAAAATAAAATCATTCATCGTAGCCTACTGGTTTGCCGATAACCAAGAAAAGCCAGTACTACGAAAAATAGCGCCTTAAAAGACGCCGATATCAGAATACACACTTCGTCGTACTGGCTTAATTTCGTGGAAACTTGACAACCTAAATGGACGTATTCAGCCATCATACAAGACAGACAATCTATGAAGAGTCCGACGAGTGCGGAACAATCCAGAAACAATCTTATAATCGCCAGAATAGTCAAACGGCTCGTTTGAACTACATGTATACACCGCGTTAAGCCATTCGGCCACCCAACCAACTAATTTCAAAAATGAAATGGGTTTATAATCAAACTAGAAATATATGCATATTTGGGTTGGGTGTGGTTGTAATTATGAGGGAGAGGGGCCCTACTAGTTAAACTAGAAATTTAAGCATATTTAGACGCTGGGTAGGTACGGTTGTATTTGTGGGGGAGAGGGGCCCTATTAATTAAACTAGAAATATAAGCATTATTTAAGCGCTGGGTAGGTACGGTTGTATTTGTGGGGGGGGGGGGGGGGGGGAGGGGCCCGACTAATCATTAAACTAGAAACATAAGCATATTTAGGGGCTTGAGTGGATGTGGTTATATTTTGTGGAGAAGGTTACTACTAATTAAACTAGAAATTTTAGGGACTGGAGTGGGTGGGGATGCATAAGAGAGGCATTCCTACTAATTGAACTAGAAATATAAGCATATTTAGGAGCTTGAGTGGATGTGGTTGTATTTGTTATGTGGAGTAATGTAAGCATTTTTATCAACAACAATTTATTTTGTTAGGAATTGCTAATGATAGAATTGTAGCTGTGTCTGTGTATAAGAATATGGTTCACCCACAAGTTGATCTGACAACTATATTCAAAGCTATTGAACAACTGGCATATGGCAACGAAACCAACAGCAGTCCTTTAAGAAAAATTGCAAATGGTGATGCGTATGTTCTTCTTACCCAAAAAGGTAATATTTTATTAACATTTTCGACTAAATTATAATTACACAATGATAATAATAATGATGATGATGATGATGATGATGATTCGATAATGATCGAGAACCATCGAGAATGTCAATTCGAGAACAACTGACATGGAACTTTGCATGCTTGTTATTTGGACAGTGACGCATCACAAGTCCAAGATGGCTGTATTGACGGTTCCGGGTTCATATCCCAGGAGATTTTTAGTTCACGATTTGTAATTTTAACAGTATTGTTTTATTGTTTATTTTCTGTAGGAAATACTAATGTTACTATAGAAGATCTGAGTCGAAAAGGAGACAGTGACAGTCAAAGTGCTAAGGCATCACTAACATTGCTCGCACCCAAGTTAAAGTTCCAAGTTACCAGTTATATCGACAATGTCAACGACGACCAGTCAGCCGTAGATTTCCGAGTGATGACTACTGCTGCAGCCTTTCCTATACTTACTCTGCTGGATGAGGTCACAACATGGGTACCAGGTATTTCCTAGTGACGTCATTAATAATTAAAGGGGCGTTTCTCGGTATTATTGACCCAGTCGATAGGGTGCAAGCTGACTAACCAGTTCATCCGAAATTCGATCCCGGTGTTGGGTAGAAAATCTAATTTTTGCCGAAAATGAAATGAAATGAAATGAGGTTTAACGTCCTACTGTTCTGCTCCTAAAGTGGGCTAATGAAGACGGGCACACGCCATACAGTGTGCTATGAGGGAAATTTTGCCCGGGCAGCGGCGCTACGGCCTACTCTTATATTGAGTTCCAACTGCCAAGGGATCTTTTACGTGCACCCCAGTGTGTACACGAGACCTCGGTTTTTCGTCCCATCCGAACGACTAGACAAATTTTTACCGAGGAATAGAAATGAATGCATAGGACTCTAGAGTAACCCACGGTTAAATATATTTACTATAATGTTTTTTAAGCCATTAGTGTAGATTTTACACATTCTATAAGTTAACACAGCTTAACTGCTCTGACATCCACGAACAAAGGTTATATTAAATTATGCACCTGTATATCCCACTTGTATACATAAGATAATGAAATGCGCATGTTCTAAGACGGCCGAAGTCGGCCATTTTAAGTCAATTGGAGTGGTTTCGAATCCCCGGTTGTACGTGACAAGGCGTAGGGTCGCCTGTCCAACCTCGTGGGTTTTCTCCGGGTCCTCCGGTTTCCTCCCACTGCTAAAGAACCCTACGCGCAAGCGAATTATTGAAATAAAATTAAACCATGTGTTAGTCCCGAAATGACCTAGTTTGTGTCGAGTGGACACTAAACCCCATTTCTCTCCCTCTCTCTGTCGGCCATTTTAAGCTAACCCGTTTAGACGATCAAGACAGGTCAGCTTAGAAAAGGTTTTGCGTTAAGACGAGAAAGCTAAACTAGTTTAGCGATCGCTTCTGTTTTTAAATCAGCCGTACTTAAATAGTTTATTTTATCTGTAGGTGATAAGTTGGTTTTAGCGTCTACAGATTATGACTGGGGACAAGCAGAAGAAGCAACAGTAGTAACATGTGCTACATGCACTAAACATCAAGTTCAAGTGGAAAGTAAGTTTCTATTTCTAGCAGGAACACCATTTTCAATACATGATTTCGATATTAAAAAGTGTCCCCGGGATTGACATCAATCCATTTAATTCTTTGTATATTTTTCATATACTATTAGACTATGTTTAACATCTTAAGTCTGGCATTCATGTACTAATTTGGATTTTTGTACTTAAAATTTCATCCCTAACCCGCCCTCACAACTTTCAAAAAATAAGAAAAGCCAACTAAAACCATATCGCCCACCACCACAAAACAATCCTAAAAATCCAAAGCAATAGACGACTGTAGCAAATACAGTATCATATTTTATATTATTCCACTTCTTAGGTGGTGTTAGTTAAGACTAGAGATTACACCAGACATTGATCCCTTTATCTCTATGGGTTGCGGTATGTTTAATTAAAACATGATAAATTTCCAATATAAATGGGTTTTTACGTCCACTCGACACAAATTAGGTCATTACGGGCCCAACACACGGTTCGAATTTATTTCAATAACTCGCTTGTGCGTAGAGGTCTTGTTCCTGATGTTTATTTACAACACCGGTCGGCTGTTTAAGTTTGGAGGGTGGGGGGTGGATGGCCGAATGGTTAGCAGGTCCGCGCTGTATCATAAGGTCTGTCATTGAGTCAACTAGCGTGGTTGACCTAGTCTGTGCCGAGTGGACGTTAACCCCCCACCTCTCTCTCTCTCTCTCTCTCTCTCTCTCTCTCTCTCTCTGTGTTTAAGTTTCATAGTTACACCCGTCTTAATGAATTAACATCAATTATTCTATTTTAGTGGATTCACGATACACGCATTTTGGAGAGATAATCAGTAATGTTGACCAGAGAGGAGAAGTTGCTCTTTTAACCAGAAATGTCTTGATTGAAGGGAAAATGGAGGATAGCTGCCCACCTAGTAATGGCAACTGTCACGATTTCCACTATGACACATTTGGTGGTCATCTGAAGGTATGAATTTCAAATAAGAGTGAACTATTGCGCGGCTGTTCAGGCAAAATATTTCTCATAGTACACTGTATGGAGTACTCCTGTCTTCATTAACCCAGTCGGCGTAGAAAAGTGTGACGTTAAATATCAATTCCTTTCTTGGAAATAGGATGAAGGAATTTGATTACAACACTCAGTTTTTAATAATGACGAAGTATCTAATATACACATACAATTCTAGTCTAGAATCGCTTGATCACAAATCTTACCCTATAACTATTGCGCCAGATTCCTCCCTTGCTTCTAGCCTAAAGACCCCTATGCTATCACAGTAGTAAACCCCCGGCAAAACAACTTCGCCGTGCTTGACTACTATAACATTTAGCGTCCACTACGTCTTCAAGAAAATTCTGAGGTTTACAGAAAACAGGCCTGTGTGTAGCACGACAATGGTTAACCCTTGTGCGTATACAAGGGGTATTTTGGGACCCCACAACCACATCCTTAACGTTTGTGAGGAACTGGTTCATAATTGTCTAGCGAGAACTTTATACATTGCCAGCTACTTAATTTCGAGTATAATGCTGCAAATAAAACGGAAGTGAGGCAGTGTGATCATTCATCATTTGACAAGAAACTGCGAGTATTACATTATCGGACATTTTGCTGGTTACAAGAGTTTAATCTGCCCTGCGCTCGGCGCTAGCTTTGTATTTGGAATCCTTCTTACTGATATTGTGTTAGTCATTCTAGTAATCTAGTTCTGAAAGCAAATATAGGTACTCTACCAACCTCATCAAAAGACGATTGTACATGGACATGACAATTAAGTTATTTGTAGATTTGTATGGTTTCAAAAATACCTTATAATTCATATCATCACTGTTAAAGGGACAATAACACTCTTGCTGGCTTGAAAGCTCCAGAAAATAAATAATATCTCTAAGTACTAGATGTTTAAGTGTCCTACCTGTTGTGTAAATTATCCATTACATCCTATTTTACTTGTCCAGAGGGTTCGAAAATATTTTTAAATCGAAGTTTCATTTGAAAAGGTTTACGTTAGACGTTTCAAACCATTATGTTGAATTTTTCAAATTTTTTAAATAAGGTGGTTTAAGATGAAATTTGTATCATCAATTAATTGAAATATTCTAAAATAGTACAATTTGTTGACCAGAATAAAGATTGGGATATATTATTCAGTTACAATAAGAGTGGTATTGAGCCTTTAATACCTCAAATATATTTTTTTTTTTTCACTCTGATTGATTATTATTCATTCTTTATATGAAGCTGTAGTTTGATCGAATTTGAATAAAATTATGCATCCAAAAACCAATTTATGTCAGGGGTCTTAGATTACGCCTTGTGGCCGACAATGATTTTCGTGCGAAGTGTGCGCACAAGGGTTAAGTAAATGAAATACATGTATCTAATGTTTTCCATTATTTGTTTTGTTAGTTTGTACAAGGAATTGCCAATGTGCATATAGAAGGTGTTGAACTTGTTAACATGGGTCAGCAGACTGTAATAGGTAAATATAGTTATTCATAGATATTATAGGCCCACAGTGGCTTAGTGAGTAAGATGTTCGCTCGCTAAGTTTGGGGTCCGGTGCTGGATCCCTGCGTTGGCTGAGAAGGTTCATCGGGATTTTCCGGCGTGGTTCCACCTTGTCAGTGGCGCAGGATGGAGAGTCTGACAAGGGAAAATGTGTACTCGTCATCTTTACACATTGACGTGCACGTAAAAGATCTCTTAGCGGTTGTTATTCGATATAATAGTAAGCCGTAGCGTCGATGCCCGGGAAAAATTCCCCTCATAGCACACTGTATGGGGTATGCCCATCCTCATTAACCCAATCGGAGTAGAAAACGTGGACGTTAAATCCCGTTTCATTCATTCCATAGATAATATATTATAGCATGTACCGACTTCAAAAATAAAGATATTAACAAAAAATAGACATTTAGGTAATATATATCATGAACTGATTTATAGATATTCACAAATACAAATATTCACAAATAATATTAATTATTTCCAAGAAAAAAAAACCCAATACAATTTTATCTGAATAAACGAAAAATAGTAAAAACGTCTATACCATTTGAAGATACTAAATAGTAAGTGCAGGAGGACCGCATCAAACGGAAACAAAACCAATAAGATCCGTCTACGGATATTGAAAGAAATAAACAATAAATATCAAATTTGGTGAAAGAATCGATAACAGCGTGGATCCAATGGTATGGAACGGATGCGGGACGGAGGACCTGCAATCTGATTAGAATACAGATCTATATTTCGTTTCGTTTTATATACTTTCGATGGCCTACATTACATGGAGGTCTGACCGGTTGTACTAGAAGGTCGCGTCAGGGATAGTACGAGCGGATGTTGACCCTGTGACGTCAGACATTGATTAATCAATCAGCGTTGACGTTTCTAGTGGTAACAGACCGTTTCATTGACTAATCCCTCACTTCAACCAGAACGCCAGTAATATAACAACTCTTCCAAATCCTAGTGTAGTAAAGACAAGTAAAAGGAAATTTTGAACTATAAAAAACGAAACTAAATAGGATGCAAGGAAAACATCGATCCCCGTTGTTCATGGCGTGCACGTAATAGAACACCTGATAATTTAAGATTGGGCCGAAACCACGCTGTCCGAAAAAAATGTTCACACAACCTCATACTGCATATATCAGAACAATAGAACGCAAAACTCCATTTGAGGTTATTTCAATTTTAATAACTTTACGATCTATGTAACAATAAATAAAACACGTTGAAGATACCCAATTCATCATAACATCCAAATATTTTTACTATTGCAGGTCATTATCCGGTTCATTTTCACATATGTCATGATTTAGATGGTCTTGGAAATTACACTAATCCTCCGTATTTTAGATACAGTACAGTACACCATTCCTTCTCTAGATGTGTTACTATACATGGTACACATGGTGTAACGGTAAGATGCACTTTATATACTATAGTACTGTACACCATTTCTCCTCTAGCGGTAAGACAATCTTTATATACTGCAGTACTGTACATCATTCCTTCTCCAGATGTGTTACGATAGGTCAATCTTTATATACATGTACTACAGTACTGTACATAATTCCTCCTCTAACAGTAAGACAATCTTTATATACTACAGTACTGTAAATCATTCCTTCTCCAGATGTGTTACGGTAGGTCAATGTATATACTACAGTACTTTACATCATCCCTTCTTTAAATGTGCTACGGTAAGATAATCTTTATATACTATAGTACTGTACTGATTTGAAAGTTGCCAAACATTGTAAATTTTGAGATGCACATGTAAAGCGTTCCATAGTTTGGGCACATTATGGGAATTGGGAAAATCGTCGAAAGCCAAAGGTTTTAAGTCTATAACTTAGTACTATTAGAAGACGATCATTTTGTGACATGGTGATAACTTATATACACTACACCGCCAATAATGATGATTATATGGCAAGTCCGATCAGGCTACATGTATGAAAAATCGAAATTTAACGTTTTAGCCAAAATCGAAGTGGGCGCAAGGTTTACCTCAATTAGTGATTTGACGCGGAATGGCACTGTTATAACTATCTAATACTAATACTAAAAGCATTTTAAATATTTTTTTATTGTCACAGATTGTGGACAATGTATGTTATGATGCTCTAGGCCATGCTTACTTTCTGGAAGATGGAGGTGAAAAGAGAAATGTTCTTGATGGAAATATCGGTCTAACCACACGTAAAGGAAAGATTCTGACATCAGATAGGTACGACACTAACAGTTTTAATCATACTAATTGTTGAATATGCATATTGATTTCAAAATTTATAAAATACTGTGGCATAGCGAGAGAGGGGGCGGAGTTGGCGAGGTCCCAGGACATCCAATCAAAGAGTGTGTCCCAGCTAGTTCGATACGCTAGCGCTTGTTCCTATTATTCTGATTTTTAAGTAGATTGAGGCATTTGTCATCTAAGCTTCAATTCAATTACAGGGATACCTGCCCACTAAACTTACAATAAACCCTTAAAATGTTTTATGGCCGTCTTATTGACATGATTATTAAATATAGCATGTCTCTTTCGGCTATTATTCTAGATATATTTATTTTTCTGATTATGTCTACTACATCAGTTAACAATGCTGCATTATGTAAAAGCAAAATCTGCCTATTGCGGGTCATGTTATATAAATTATCATTTATACATTAGGGGTAGGGAAGGGGTGAGGAATGCATGGCCGAGTGGTTAACCCGTGCATCACAAGGTCTATAATTGAGTAAAGTGGCGTGATTTGATTCCCCGCGAGTATGTGGCAAGGAGTATGGTCGACTATCCAACCTCGTGGGTTTTCTCCTGGTCCTCCGGTTTCTTCCCATTGCTAAAAAAATCATACGCGCAAACGAATTATTAAGATAAAATTGAACCATATGTTACTCCCGAAATGAACTAGTTTATTTCGAGCGGACGTTAAACCCCATCCACCCCTCACCCCTCCCCCTCTCTCTCTCCCCCGACCAAATAGCTTCATTAAAGTAAGCCACCTTCTGTCGATTTCAATAATTAGCATGGCTATATAAAATTTTGAAATTTATTTTTAGTCGACCGGCTACATATTTTGTGACGAATCCCAAAAATCATCTTAGAAATAACGTTGCTGCTGGTTCCGAGGTATAGTATGGCATTCGATTTATTTTCTTTATTGTTCTGGTTGTAAAAATCAAGGGAGTCACGGTGGCTCAGTGAGAAGGCGTGGACTCACTAACCAGGGGGTACCGGGTTCGGTCGCGGTTCATGATTTGCCAGTGTGGTTTTCACGTCTAGTCCTTCATCTCGTGTACACGTTTGTGTGCACGTAAATGCTCCTCGCTTGGTTGTTATGTTTCGGAAAAATTCCCTATACCCCCCACCCCCCGTAAACCTCTACGAGGGAGACCGGGCGTGAGATAACTAGGGTTCACGTCCACTGGACAGTAACTAGGCCATTTCCACGCCAACTTAAGAGCTAAAGCCACGCCCTCGCTCGCATTAAATAACTAGTGTTCCTTTTTTTATTTGGCAGTATTATGGATTTTGGTATGTATTCCCTGACGAACCTTATGGTCCATCATACGGACTTGGCTTCATGCAGCTGTATGAATCACAACATACTCCATATGCCGAATGGAATAATAATGTAGGACATTCTAATGAAGTTGTAAGTAGCAGTTGTTTGAAATTTAATTTCGGATTGGACGATGAACCGAGGTCCACATGTATACACTTAAAGGAACCCTTGGCAGTTGAAACGCCGAAGCCCGGATTTATTTATTTAAAGGACAATATTGGTGCCAGTCATTATCACATATGTGATAGAACTAGTTAAACACGTTCCAAATATTATTTTATCACAGAGATCATTGCTACGATAGATGAATAATCAATGTTTCAACAATAGGAAGTGACGAACGCAAAAGGAAAACACGAGTTATCCCTCTATATCACTGACTGAAGTGACGGGTGATAACAGATACATGGGCGAATTTCTGCTCACCAAAAATTCCTTCGAAGACCAAAAGTTATTATATGAGACTGAAAGAGTATATATGACAATTAAAAAAAGTAATTGAATGTCATTAGATGAGAGAACACCAGAAAAATAGAAACAGTCCGTACATTCTCGGGTGTTAATTCATTCTATACTTATAAAAACATGGTAATGCACGGATTTTTTCTATTTTTCTTTCATGTTCTCTTATCTAGTGACAGTCAATTTTGTTTATGAATTGTCAGATATCCTTTCACAGTCCCATACAACTACTTTTGGTCTTCGAAGGAATTATTAGCGAGCAGAAATTCGCCAATGTATCTGTTATCACCCGTCACTTCAGTCAGTTATATAAAGGGATAACTCGTGTTTTCCTTTTGCGTTCGTCACTTCCTATTGTTGAAACATTTGGAACGTGTTTAACCAGTTCTATCACATATGTGATAATGACTGGCACCAATATTGTCCTTTAAAGCCCACTTTATTTGATTTTATTCGATGGTAATCTGACCCTGGTTGAAGACGTTGCTACAACATGTATAACAGAACCGATGACTCACTCAGTAAGACGTGACGTTGGCTCACTAACCCGGAGGTCCCGTATTCGATCTCTGCATTGGCTGAGCAAGTACCTCTGAATTTTCCGCCCCCCCCCCCCCTTCTTGTCAGTTGTGCAGGACACGGGACCTTACAGGAAACAATGTATAGTCATTTGTATCGGGCGAAACATCTAGGTACCGTGTACACCTTGGCGTGTACGCAAAAGATCCTTGGAAGTTGAAAATTCAGTTGTTGTCCTCGCAAAATGTCCTTCATTGCACATTACATAGTGCATACCCGTCTTCATTATCCCGGTCTGTGCAGAAAAGTAGGATGTTTAAAATTATTTTATTTCTGTTACAGGATGGTTTGTTTGCCGATAGTAAAGTATTGCCTACAACTGCTGCAGGAGGAACAAGTGATTATTCGCCCAAAATTCGACCACTGGACAGAAATTCACCTGCAGCACAGGTCAGGATTATCAAACCCACATGTAAGTCAGTTTTACAGACTTATAAACCTGTCACGGCAAATCTCTTTGATCGTTGGGGTATATTCTATGCCCGGAATAACCTGAGGTCTGAAAGTCGAGGGCGGCTTTGAATATAACAGGGGAATTTGGGGTTATTCTTCTGAAAGTTTTTCTTTAAACTTGTAACAGGTTATTCTTCCAAGGTAGGGTTTTTTTTCTCCATATTTAAACATGATCTAAGGTTTTTCTTATGGGAAATCTGGGATATTCTCATTTTGCGTACATGTAAACATTGACGGTTTATTCTTCCAGGGTAGTTTTTTTTCTCCATAAGAAAATATGATCTAAGGTTTTTCTTATGGGAATTCTGGGATATTCTCATTTTACGTACATGTAAACATAGACGGTTTATAAGCATGGTAAATTCCTCGACTTCGGTTATGCTGGGGAAGAAAATCTTCAGAAAAACCCTCTTTTTCTCGGGTTATTTTCTTCAAATCAACATTGATGTTGTGATCTCATAAGGAAAAGATGGGCTTCTGATATCCAATATTTAAGACAAAATAAACATCTTACCATTGATACACGAATCGTGTACCATAATGTGCTTCAGCGCCATTTTTAACAAGTGTCTGGAAGAACGAGGTTAGACATATTCCAAACAGTGACGGCATATTCTTAGACTGGATTAACCAAACGCTAGAGATCGCCATTCGATTGAGACTTCTAGCGTATTTCGCGGAACATAACTGATTTGAAATTAGAGTAGAACGGAAATGATTGAATGTAAATCAGTTTATATACATTCGTATTATATTATTTTATGCGTTGCTTCAGATTAGTGTCAATTTCTAGGTCCAAAATATTTGCGATTTAGCTCTTTTAAATGATTTATTTTTTTTTAATTCAGTCTACAAGAATCGTTTCCATAACATGTGGATAAGAGGTGGATGGATTACTGTTGAACACGGATCGTAAGTATCGTTTCATTACAGACTGGTTTTTTTTATTCAGAAACAATTTGTTAATCAAAATAAGAGTCATGGATGTCTGGAACAATTTATGGTTGTTATGTTTACATTTTTAGGTCTATATCATTTTGAAGCCAGTTTCCGTCGCCATTTTGGATTTTGGCGGCCATATTGGATCAACCGTTTGTGAGATGATCGGAAGCTATCCAAAATGAGTCCGGTGGCCGGCCAACAAAGTTTATTAAAATGATATATTACACGGGTCAATGTTTGCCAAAGTCAATTTCAGACCATTTTAGACGCCATCTTGGCTATTCGGCTCTCCTGGAGTTAGCTCATAGTTTTCAGAGGTAGCAAACTGCCGTCCCACCTTGTTCCCGCGAAATGGTCACGGATCTGGGGTTTTGACCCGTCTATATAGACTCAGGGATAACACAACTTGCTATGCTACAGCCTTGAAATATTACCTTAATACGCATATTTTGAAAAATAAATACACCGAGAGATTGACTCAGCGCAAATAAGCAAATTGTTATTTGGGAAATAGGCGCTAATTAGTTTTAAATATTTTCAACGATTGCCGAAGACACATTCCAGTTTAATAGGGCGGGGCGGGGGGGGGGGGAATGGTTGCACGTGCGCGCTGTATAATAAAGTCTGTCATTGAGTCAACTGGCGGGGTTTCGATTCCCCGGTAGTACGTGACAAGGAGCAGGGTCGCCTGTCCAACCTCGTGGGTTTTCTTCGGGTCCTCCGATTTCCTCCCACTGCTAAAGACCCCTACGCGCAAGCAAATTATGGAAATAAAATTGAACCATATGTTAGTCCCGAAATTACCTAGTTTGTGTCGATTGGACGTTAAACCCCATTTCTCTCTCTCCGTCTCCAGTTTAATGGCTTTAACTAAATATTTCTTACAAATAAATTTTGTATTTTTTCTAGTTTTGCGGATAGTGCCAATGGACTAGCATTTGCTAAGTAAGTCAACCTTTATCCGTCATGCATGGATACCTTATATGTAAACCTTATATATCTACTATTTAGCATTACCGCATGGAAATCTTGTATGTCCATTGTTTAGCAGCCATGCATGAAAACCTTCTATGTTCCTTATTTAGCAGCCATGCGTAAACACCTTGTATGTTCATTGTTTAGCAACCATGCGTGAAAACCTTGCATGTTCATTGTTTAGCAACCATGCGTGAAAACCTTGTATGTCCATTGTGTAGCACTCATGTAGGACAACCTTATATGTCCATTGTTTAGCAGCCATGCATGAAAACCTTGTATGTCAATTGTTTAGCAACCATGCGTGAAAACCTTGTATGTCCATTGTTTAGCACCCATGTAGGACAACCTTATATGTCCATTGTTTAGCAGCCATGCACGAAAACCTTGTATGTCCATTGTTTAGCAGCCATGTATGAAAACCTTGTATGTCCATTGTTTAGCAGCCATGCATAAAAACCTTGTATGCCCATTGTTTAGCAGCCATGCGTAAAAACCCTGTATGTTCATTGTTTAACAGCCATGCGTAAAAATCTTAGAAGTCTAATCTTAATGCGCCATTTATGAAAATCTGCATGATAACTTTGTATGTCTGATAAACTGTCGATATCTAGAGGATGCCCTTAGAATTAGGTCGTATAAGACTCTAAAGTGGTGTTAGGTACACCATATTCAGACAAGCACAACACTTGCACCACAAAACTGGAACTAAAGCCATGTAATTTAGTACACGTTCTCTCGTTAAGGTCTGGCGTACACCTATCACTTTGAATATGATGAAGATTTAACCTAATATATTATATTGTTTATACGAAAACGACATAAACGCACTTCCTATAGATACCCTCTCATTATAGATCAACCCAATCGCCACAGATAAACCCACTCGTTATATACACCAACCCACTCGCCACAGATATAATCACTCGCCACAGATAAACCCAATCACCACAGATAAACCCACTCGTTATGATTAACCCACTCGCCACAGATATAATCACTCGATACAGATAAACCCAATCACCACAGACAAACACACTCGTTATGATTAACCCACTCGCCACAGATAAACATACTCACTATAGATCAACACACTCGCCACAGATAAACCCACTCACTATAGATCAACACACTAGCTACAGATAAATCAACTCGCCACAAATAAACCCACTCACTATAGATCAACCCACTCGCCACAGATAAACCCACTCGCCACAGATAAGCCTACTCGCTATAGATCAACCCACTCACTATAGATCAACCCACTTGCCACAGATAAACCAACTCGCCAGAGGAAAACCCACTCACTATAGATCAACCCACTCGCTATAGATCAACTCACTCGGCATAAATAAACCCACTTACTATAGATCAAACTACTCCCCACAGATCAGCCCACTCGCCACAGATAAACCCACTCACTATACATCAACCCCCTCACTATAGATCAACCCACTCGCCACAGTTAAACCAACTCGCCACAGATAAGCCTACTCGCTATAGATCAACCCACTTGGCATAGATAAACCCATTCTGTTTTTTTTCAGATCTGATGATCAAGCTCAGTTTCTGCAGAACTCTGTTATAATAGGAGAATCGAAGAACATAGGAGAACCGACATTATATGTGGATACTGCCGCATCTACATCAATTCAGTTTAACCGATCTATACCCGTATATACAACACCGTGAGTAATTAGTGTTGTGACATAAGTGTCTGTGCGTCATTTGCATTGCACATATTAGTGTTGTTGCTTAAAGTCGTTGTTAATTAAAACTATCTGTGTTATTTGCAGAGTTAGTATTTAGTGTTGTTACTGTAAACAAGTGTCTGTGCTATTTGCACAGTTCGTAATCAGAGTTTACGTAGTAATAGTGTTATGACGTAAAGTATCTTTGCAGGATTTGGATCGTACGTTATTTGTGTCGTTATATAAAGTATTTATGCCCCAGCAGTATCGCAGTGTTCTTGAAGCGCGGACGCTTACGGGGATGGACCCCCGATTCATTCTCGTGTTGTTTATTTCGTGCATTTTCTCTTCTCCTGTAGTTTGTCTTGTCCGCAGTTTTGTCTTATCGATTTTATTTATGTATGGTTCGGTCCACCTGTGGTACCGGAGATCAGCAGTATCGCTGTGTTCTTTATACATGATACGTGGACGCTTACGGATGGCCTCCGGGTCCATTCGCTTGATTTGATGTTTGTTGTTTATTTCTTGCAATGTCTCTTCTCGTAGTTTGCCTTGTCTGCAGTTTTTCTTATCGATTCTGTTTGCGTGTAATGCGGTCCTCCTGCATTTACTATTATAAACTGATGAAACTGAATATTTTGTAATTTTTCTTTCCAGCTCCACGCCTATTCATGGATTTTTGTTCCATGATGGTCCGGTTTATTTGGAGAATGTCTGGTTTTCTGGTTTTAAATCCAATTCTTATTATCTAGCAGGAGCTATTGGTTTTGAGAAATATAATCAGAATATAACATCAGCTGTTAGTTCTGTTAAACATATAAGATTCGACTTCACTGATGTAAGTAGCAGTGATGTAGGACGGAGGGTCTGACAAGGACAGCTGTCTAGTCGCTCGGATGGGACGAAAATCCGAGGTCCCGTGTACACATTGGCGTGCACGTAAAAGATCCCTTGACAGTTCGAATTCGATATAAGAGTAGGCCGTAGTGCCGCTGTCCGGGCAAAGTTTCCCTCGTAGCACATTGTATGCCCGCCTTCATTAGCCCAGTTGGAGCAGAACAGTAGGACGTTAAACCCCATTTGCTTTATCGATGTAAGTAGCGGTATCTGTCATCATTAGCCCAGTAGGACAGTGAACTCCAATTCATTTAATTTCATTTCCGTTATATCCGACAACTAACACAGATCGTAAATGGTAATTAAAGTTAATTACATTATGTCAGAGCTAAATCAGCCTATTGCGGGTCATTTTTTTGTCTTCAAATATCATATAAATTTTTATTAAGACTTTCATTTAGATGTCAAGCCAGTAATCAAGTCTCTGGGCCATCGGGTGGCCGCGATATTAATTGGATTAACGCTAAAATAAGGATCGAGGCTTCGTTTATTATCGTAGCAATGACAATTAAGACTACACTATTCTTGTCAAAATTTTATACATTCATAACGTCGCTCAGAATAAAGTAATTTGAATGAATGTATCAATGCATTGATTTTTAATTATCCATTTTTAACCTATTATAGCGAAAACGGTTAGCTCATAATTCATCTTTAAGTTGCAGAAATAAGGACACCCTTTTGTCAAAGTAAAAGTGGTAGGATGAGCAATGGTCGAATTGTATTTATTATATATTTGTGGCTATTTTAGGTTTCGGAGCCGTTGTGGTTCAGTGAGTAAGACGTTAGCTTGCTATCTTCGGGGCCCCGTGTTCGGATGAGACAGTTCATCAGGATTTTCCGGCGTGGTTCCCCCCCCCCCCCTTGCTAGTGGTGCAAGACGGATGGCATGTCCACGTGAAGTCGTGCGGATGGGACAAACAACCGAGGTACCTTGCACATATTGGCTGACCGGACAAAATGTGTCTCATAATACACTGTATGACATGTGCTCGTCTTTATTAACGCGGATGGGCCAGAATAATATGACGTTAAACCCCATTTCATTTTTTTTTAGGTTACATTAGGAAATCGAGTTCTCGACAGCAACTCCACTTTAATGGGATTTCCCGATGATGATCGATATAATGGAATTACATTCCGAGATACAGATGGTAGTGTTACCGGTTATTCTAACAGTCAAATTGTCAAATCTCGACCATTTTATATTACTAGAGGATGTTACGTACGATCTAACTGGCAAGTTGCCGTTTGTCCAGATACATTTGGAAAGGTAGGCATTATATTTATCATTCTTATTGATAATTCCATTAAAATGTAATACAACTTCCAATCTGTTTAAAATAGAGATCTATATTTTAAAAAAAAACATAACGAAAAGGGATCTATGTTTTAATAAAATTGTACAATTCTTAGTTTATTACCCAGGAATGGCAAGGGCATGGGTATAGCCCAACACGGGTAGACTGAGATGGAGCTTCGAGTATGGTAGACTGGAGACCCATAATAAATAAAGTTAACGTTTCCATGTGGTGTGTGGGTCTTAGATTTCAGTCGTTTATGATCCACACGCTCAATTTGTGCATAAGCTAGAATTTACAGCCAGTTTTTCAAACAAAATGATCGCACCCTTCACGGGGTCATACCCATCGACCTACGTCTCCTAATCCTTTCCTGTAGCTCAGAGCCATATATAGAGGATGAGGGGACATTAGCTAGGCGGTTGGTAGTTCAACTCAGAACGTAAGATTTGTTACACCAACCCTCTACGTTCAAGAACTAGTAGGGGCGTGGTGACCCATGATTTTACACGTGGAAGAAGATCCCGCCTGGGACCCCAAAACATTATTTATTTGTTTGTGCCGGGGAGGGGGTGTGGTGGCAGTGCCTCCCAGTGCCGCCTGATAATATTGGGCTGTGTGGAACGTGCTAGAGTCGATTTGTAGCATAATATCTAACCAATGGTATATGTTTGACACTGGTTAAGCATTGAAACCGCGCTTTATTTTGCCATTTGCGGGGGGGGGGGGGGGGGGCAAAAACTCAAAACTATGACGCAAAATCCCTGGGAACGGGCCTATTAGCTCCTTGTCAAAATCTTTTGAATCCCAGTAAATTTTAGTGGGCAACTCTTTACTGCTAAACCATCGCGTGTCAGTCACTCTGAACGCCTGTACAGTGTAAAGGAACGTTTAAATGAGAAAATACCCTCCTTGCAAGTAACTTGGGCGCCGTTATTGCAGTCTAAATATAGGTCAACGCACACATTTCAGAACGTCGGTGACACGAAGACGAAACGAAATTCAGATAACCAGGGAATAAATTTGGAATCGTTGAAAAAATTAGATTGTAAAAGGTAGGCAAAGCATGAATGACTGAAGATTCTAATTTTTTCAAAAAGTGGAGGTGGAGGTTCAGTGTAACGAGACTTTCGTTCAGAGCTGAACTAGGCGGTTGGGTGCCGAATGGTTTAACGCTTGAGCGTTGGATCATATGGTCTGTCATTCAGTCAAATGGCAACCTTTCAGTTCCCTGCTTATACGTGACAAAGGGTGGGGTCGCTTGTCCAACTTCGGGGTGTTTCTCCAGGACCTCCGGTTTCCTACCACAGCTAAAACGAATTATTGAAATAAAATTGAACCATTAGTCCTGAATGACCTAGCTTGTGTCGAGTGGACGTTAAACCCTTCTCCCTTGATCTGGCTAGCTGCGAATAAAAAGTACATAGAATATTATTGGCAATATTTCAGTTGACAATTCAGTCCTGGATGACCTAGCTTGTGTCGAGTGGAGGTTAAACTCTTTTTTCTTGAAATGGCTAACTGCGAATAAAAAGTACATAGAATATTATTGGCAATAGTTCAGTTGACAATTCAGTTCTGATGACCCTAGTTTGTTTCGAGTGGACGTTAACCCCGTCTCTCTTGATATGGTTAGCTGTGAATAAAAAGTACATAGAATATTATTGGCAATATTTCAGTTGACAATAACCTTTGAAGATAAACAACCTGATGATACAGGACCAACTGTATTTGCTGTAAGAGATGATAAACCTGCTGTACAGGAGGTTCAGACAAACCAGAACCCAGCGCAATTTACAACAGTTCTTGGTGGAGGCTATAGTTACACTCTACACTGGAAAGATTTCGTTCCTCGCACTTTCACTATACGGGGTGATGGAATTGAACAGTAAGATATATTTCTCTCACAATCCGGGGCCTCCGACATCTAGAGTTTTCGGCGTGGTCTCCTTTTCAGTGGTGCAGGACGGAGTGCCTGGCAAGGGAAACCTTATAGACATAAGAATGGAACGCCAAATTGAGATATAATTCGTGTACACATTGGTGTGTACGTAAAATAACCCTTGGCAATAGACCGTATATAGCGCCGCTGTCCTAGCACACTGTGTGGCGTATGCCCGTCTTTATTAGCCCAATTGGAGCAGAACTGTAGGATGTTAAACACCATTTCATTTCATTTTACTTCACAAACCTGGACTGTGACTAATCAACCCCTTACTAAACATACAGTACTTCTCAGTGGCGCCCTTTTCAACTGGCGCCAAGGGCACATGCTCTTCCTGCGAACCGTAAATACGCCACTGAAGTACAGTCAGCGGATTGAGGAATCCCTGGTACAGTGTAGGTAATTTCACATAAGTGATTTAGTTGGGACGGGAAGCAAATTACCCTTTGAAAACAATCTGATTAAAATACAGATCTATATTTCGTTTCGGTTTTTTTGTATACTTTTGATGGCCTACACTACATAAAGATCTGACGGTTGTAGTGGACGGTCGCGTCAGAGGTCATACGAGCGACTTTTGGCCCTATGACGTCAGAAATTTGATTTAACTCAATCAGCGTTAATATTTCTAAAGGGTTAACCACAGTTCGTGAACCTCACACCAAAAACTCGCCGTACCAGACCGCTTCATTGGCTATTCCCTCGCAACATCCAGAACGCGGGTAATATAACAACTCTTCCAGATCCTAGTGTAGTAAAGACAAGTAAAACCAAATTTTGAACTATGAAAAACGAAACGAAATAGGATCTGTGATTTAATCAGATGGCTTTGAAAATAACCCCTATAAACAAAAGTTCCCAAGCGACGAACTTGAGAATTTTTTTCTAGAATGCGTGTTTCGGGCCCACACGACATAGCCAAAAACGTTTTTTGTTGTTTTTTTTTTAATAATGGAATGAAATGAAATGTGGTTTACGGCCCTACTGTTATAAAATACTAATAAAACGAAATTGAATTATAAAAAATATGACACGAAATAGAATCTGTACTGGATTTTGTGAAACCTGTTTTTATAATATGTATATTTTTTCAGGGGTAAATGGTTACGGTTTGGTGTATGTTTACCACGACATGCTAAACTTGATCTGTCCTCCACGAGTCCGAAATATCTAGAGAATATGAACAACTGGATCTCAGTAGCCAGTTTACAGGAACTAGAGGCTGATAACATAGGTGATAAATATTATTGGGATACAACTGCTGGGTACGTGGGAATTTGTTTTAATATTGTTAAAATTTGTTCTGAATTTATGGACCGATTGGACCAAAGGCTTATGTTAGAAAGGGTCTGGACATCCTTTCTAAATCCCGGTGGTGGTTATTAAACCATTGTGTCTCTGGTTGTCTTTATTCAAATTGTTGCATAGATTGTGGTGCATAAATTGGTGCATCTGTGGGTTTTTTTATTTCAATACGTGCTCTTGTGGTGCTTATTGAATTATTAAATTAATTAAATTTGAGATATTACTCTAGGCCGCTTTATTCAAATTATTGCTCTTGTCTTGTGTATTTGAATTGGTGCTCTTACGGTGTTCATTTAAATTGACGTTCTTGTTGTGTTAATTTAAAGCGGAAATTGCAAATTTTCTAAGAAAGTCAAAACGTAATTATTTCTATGTCTTTTGCTCAATAGGTTGTCAACTCACAATTATACGATCATAGGTGTCATTCTCACACTTAAGATTCATTTACACAGGAAATAATAACACAATTACCTCCCAATTACCCCCTTGTTTTCTATTCTCCACCATGGAATAGCTATCTTGAAACGTTTGAATTTGAAATGGAAATTGATATTTTTGCCAATTTCTCAGCTGGCAATAGTGAATTATAGGATTAATAGGATTATTCTTTAACAAGGTAGGACTGTTTATGGATACCATCTATTTTCAGGCTTTATTTTAATAAATTTTAAAAATATAACTTAAAAATTTGCAATTTCCGCTGTAAATGGGTGCCCTTGTGGTGCTTAAATGGGCACTCAACATAATTTAACAAGAATGTATTTGGTGTGGTTCTTATTTTAACTATTCAGACAAATTGTGGTAATTTTACATTATTTAATTCTTCTTTATAACCATCAAAACGATTTCTTCAAGAATTTTGAAGGAATATGGGGATGGTATTTCTATTCTAAGGCAAGTTACTGTTGAACTGGAGTTAATTGATTAAAACCCGATTTAATTAATTTGTCCTTTTTTAATAGTTTATTGTTCTTCCAACCCCGCTTTGTTTTATTCCTATTATTTCAGATTACTGTTTTTTAAGTTCGTGAGTTTTACTACCAGGGAGGCAAATGCGACAACGGAATGTGGTGTACAAGAATGTCCCAACGTCAGGATAGAGGTTTTGTCGGGGGATGTTACAGACCGCGATTGTACCAGTAGAGCTTACGACACGTTTTCTTACAATAGAACGGAACCGGTAAGTTGTTGGTGATTCATGACACAAGTTCTTACAAGAGAACGGAACCCGTAAGCACCCGAAGTCCCGTGTACACACTGGCGTGCACGTAAAAGAACCCTTAAAGCCGGATTTCGATATAAGAGTGGGTCGTAGCGCCGCTGTCCTGGCAAAATTACTCTCATAGCACATTATGGGTTATGCCCGTCTTCATTAGCCAAGTCGTTGCAGGAAATTAGGGCGTTATAACCCCATTTTAGTTCGTTCAATTTAGAGCCACATAGAAAATTGCTCTGTTAATTTACCTAATGCATAATGCCCCTTTAGGAAATATTAATACATTATTAATATCTGAAGACGTCTATAGAAGGCAGAGCGTTAGCTTATATGATTTAATGTATATGTCAGAATGAAGTAAAGTGGTGATTTTTTTCACCTGGACGTATTTTTTATTTATTTATGTATATATCTATCTATCGTAAAATAGAAGTACTTGTACTTTTTCTACTTTAATATATATATCTTTCAGAATCCAACCAGACCACTTCATGCCCAAGGTTTATCAGCAAGCGCCTCGAGCCCAGGAGTAAGTTTACAGTACACTATCGATGGATTATTACTCATTGATCCACTGGCGTATTAAAGGACAATGTTGATACCAGCCAATATTACATATGTGATACACCTGGTAAAAAAAAATTCCAAATAAAATTTAACACCATTGTCCTTAAAGGGGTGGAACGAAGCTCAAGATGCTTAAGCTTCCTGATTTCCTATTTAGTGTAAATGAGTAAGGTACCACTTCTCCGGATCAGTTTGTTACTACGTCATATGTAAACAATGTACGTTTTATCGAAACCGTATGATGTGACGTCACATGTAGACCTATACTGCACGTGAACTTAAAGGTTAGTCATCTGGTACAACGTTAACCGAAGCCTTTCACATTACCGATGTTAAACAGATTGCACCACTTTAGTAGCCATAGCTACAAAATTTAAGAATTTGAGCCTTTAAACATTGTATGTGAGAAACGTGGTTTGTAAGATTCAATCAATAGGTTTGTAGATAAGATGATCATACTTTAAGCAATCTTTTTAACGACATATTTTTCAGACCTATGGAGCTGGACCCACTCGACCTTTTACAACACGATCACGTGTAAACGGTCAATTTGGAGAGTGGGGACCCTGGAGTGATTGTTCTAAATCGTGTGAAGGTTTGTTTCACATACAACTTTATATTTTAGTCATATTTGAATTGTTTTATAAGGTGTAGACAAAGTCCCAATCAGCGGGGGGGGGGGGGCAGGGTTTGTGTGATGCCCGGACACAACTCCTGGGTTGCCAAGGGGAGAAGGGGCCTTCTCCACCAGGAAATTCTCGTCTAAATACCTAATTAGGTTTAAGTCCTTTATAACGAACGCAATCAACAATCTTAACGTCGATCAGAAGGTGGAGGGTGAGAGCTTGGATATGGCTAGGGGTTTGGGTGGCCGAGTGCTTAACGCGTGAGCATTGTATCATATAGTCTGTCATTGAGTCAAGTGGCGTGGTTTCGATTCCTCGCAGGTACGTGACAAGGAGTAGGGTCGCCTGTCCAACCTCGTGTGTTTACTCCGGGTCCTCCGTACGTGTTCCACTGCGTTAAGCCCCCAACCCCTCCGCAAACCTAGAACTCATTAATGGGAGAATGCTATAACTTAAATATGTTAAAACAGAAAAAATATAGTTTTTATTCAAATTAAGTATGACAACTTGTACAACAAAGTTAATAGCGATAATTTCAAATACCCCCCCCCCCCCCACAACCCCATTACCCTGAAATGTATGCCCTCGCTCCCTTTGCCACCCTACTTTTATATCAGTATATTTCATTTAATAATAAGATAAGTATATACTGGCGACTCGCATGCCCTAGTGTGTGAGGCAGCGTCTTGTCTTTCTGGCGGGACTAAAAAATCAACGTCCTATGTACACCTTGTCATCCAAGGGTTTACTCATCGAGCCACCGCGGCTCCTTATTCCCCCAAAAAAGAAAACAAAATGAGGCAGAAAATCTTACCGGTTATCACAAGTAACCGAACTATTTTGAATTAAGAGACGTCAAATTCCATGCTTAGTTTACCGTTTTACAATAACATCGAATTTTAACGTTTATGAAATTCAGGAGGAATTCAGACGAGAAGGCGTTACTGTGATCATCCTATACCCCAGAAAGGTGGCACGTCTTGTACTGGTAAAGCTGTTGAAACAAGAGACTGCACCCAACAATACTGTGGTAAGTTTTATGAGAGAGAGAGAGAGAGAGAGAGAGAGAGAGTGTGTTTCGGGACTACCATAATTTATTTTTCAATTTTGCGCGTTGGGGTCTTTAGCTGGAGGAAACGGCAGGACCCGCTGAAAATCGACATCGTTAGGAGCAGCCAATTTTGAGTCAGTATGCGTTTCGTAAGTGAACTAAGATGGGATTAATGAAGACGTGTATATACGCCATGCATTGTGCTATGATGGCGATTTTGTCCACCTTCTCCTCCACTGTGGATGGTTCTTGTATGATCACACTAGAGAATATACGAGACCTCGGTTTTTGGTCCCATCCGAACAACTAGACGACTCTCCATCCCCATCCTTACCTTTGAGGAAACTTGGATTAAAACTCCCGTAGAACCTTCTCTACCGACACCGAGATCGAACCAGAATCGTCCTGTTTATTTAGCCTGTGCCATATTCACTGAGCCACCGGTGCTGCTATGTCTTTTCTTTACACATATGTGACCGTCCAGCACAAAACCAGTCGGAGACACAGCAAAATACACTATGTGGGTCAAAATTACCGAAATTTTAGTTTTCTCACTAAAAGCTTAAAAAAAAGGCATATTTTTTCATTAAATAGATCGTTTCTGTGCAGAAATAATAAAAAATGTATAAGAAATGTATCCAAAATGAAATTTTATGGAGGCTGCGAAAACAGAATGGTAATTCAATTGCTAATTGTATAAAATGAACCTACTTGCTGCTTCAGAGTTTGGTCGCTTTCCTCTGAATATTTGTTATCCAATTTTAATTATAACTTTCAATTTTTGATTATTTTTAATTTAATATATTAAAGCTGTAGATGGTGGCTGGTCAGCCTTTGGCGATTGGACAGCGTGTGTCAAGGTCACCGGGTGTAATGGTTACCAGAAACGAACGAGAGAGTGTAATTCACCAGCTCCCGCCCATAACGGTAAATATTGCGAGGGACAAGACGAAGAAGTGAAATCATGTACAGTTTGTTAGATTAGCCCTGGAAAATAAAATGAGTGTTGTTAAATATTTTGGGTTTTTTTTTAACATTAATTGAAGTCTTGATGCGTTATTTAAAGCCAAAAGACTTCCTTGCAATTGTGAAAGCTTAATCTCCAATACACTAATATCAGTCCAAATTAAGGATAAATGCAGTGTGCTTTAAGGGGTATTTTGCCCGTACAGCGGCACTGTCGTCAATTGTATGTTCATTAAAGTAACAATGCGCCATTGGCATTTGTCGCTAAAATATCAAATTTCTCAAGGCTTAATTAAAGAGGGTATGGCTCTATTTTTTTAACCTTGAAAAAGACAAAAATGATTCTAAAAGCACTAATGTACTATAAATGTGTGTAAAGTGATTTATATTCAATTTTTGAAACAAATGTTGTAATTTCCAATCAATTATGTTCGGTGAAATACGTGAAAAGTTCAAATTGAACGGCAGTCGTTTAGACCTGTTTATTGCATTCCACATGTTTTTTAAATTATTATTTTGTCGTTTGTAGGGGGGTTGGATGGCTGAATGGTTAGCGTGCGCGCGCTGTATCATAAAGTCTGTCATTGAGTCGACTGGCGTGGTTTCGAATCCCGGCTGTACGTGACAAGGAGTAGGGTCGCCTGTCCAACCTCGTGGGTTTTCTCCGGGTCCTCCGGTTTCCTCCCACTGCTAAAGACCCCTACGCGCAAGCGAATTATTGAAATAAAATTAAACCATATGTTAGTCCCGAAATGACCTAGTTTGTGTCGAGTGGACGTTAAACCCTATTTCTCTCTCTCTCTCTCTCTCTCTCTCTCTTGTCGTTTGTAAATCAGCCTTTACTGATTACTGCCTTTACTAAATGTTTTTATTTGTTCATTACAAAATGGCACAGGAAACCATAGGGTACACGACTGGTGTACTGATTATAAAATGTTAATTATGTCTTAAATATTGGATATTAGGATCCTATAGTTTTCACGGCAAGTAAACAAGATCAATATTGGTTGAAATTGATCAATATTGAATTCTAATTTGTGTTTATAATTTCGAATATTATGGAAAATATTGAGTTAGAGACTGAACTCCTTTAATCCACGCAAATGTATACTCATATTGATTATTTAACATTGGGTTCAATCGGATTTAAAGCATGCCCACCATTAAATTTTCGCGGACAACAAAATGGCGGCGGACTTATTGCATATCAAGCAGCATAGATCGATGAAATTTCAATTCCACATGTCTTTAAAAATGGTAAACGGAATTTAAGCATTTTTGGGCTGATATTCCTATCAGAGATTCACCTTTTACAATTATGTATTTTGCAATTACTTTAACCTCCCATTCCCTTTAATATAATCATTGATGCCTCCCTTTAATTATTATTTCATGATAATAATTTCTTATGTAGCATGTTATATTCTGAATAGGCTAATATTTATGATTATCACAAAATATATTAAACACGGTCACCGCTGCTCCATATTTTACATATTTTACATATTCATGTCAATAATCATAAGGCGCCTCATTGAGCCAAGTGGCCTGTTTTCGAATCCCCGGTTGTACGTGACAAGGAGTAGGGTCGCCTGTCCAACCTCATGGGATTTCTCCGGGTCCTCCGGTTTCCCCGCACTGCTAAAGACCCCAACGCACAAGCGAATTATTAGTCTGTATCCTGATTGGAGGTTGGGGTGAAGGTGTATAATATCCCCTTTTGCAACATTGCAGACAACACGAGTCCAAAGGTCATTTGTATTAGTTATGTACGGGACGATTGCTTACGAGGCATTTGTTTCAGCTGTTATCCGAAAGTGGGTGGACATTTATATTAGTTAATAGTAAATTCAGGGAGGGCGGGGGGCGCACAACTTACAAACAATTACACAAGACAAACCTACGGACAGGACACAATATCAGATCAAGTGAATGGATCTGGGAGCTAGCAGTAACCGTCCACTGAGCTGTCCAGTCCCGGGCCTGTAGTCTCTAATAGTAAGTGCAGGATGCCCGGACTACAACCAAAATGAAACCGATATAAAAATCCTGCGGACAAGACAAACTACATATAGACATTGCAAGAAATCAAATCAAGTGAATGGATCCGGGACGGGGGTCAGTCGTAAGCGTCCATTGCGCTGTACAGTCCCGACCTGTAATGATACAGAATTCACTCAAAATGGAAATAAATCATTAAAGATTTACAAGATAGACGTAATAGAAATACTGCGACCGGTGTTAACATAGAAATATATAAATTTATAAATGGGTGATAACGTTGGTCGTCTTCTGAATGACGATTGTCTGCCAGCTAGAACAATATATACTGAGCGCCATGGAAAACGCATCACTTAGTTTTTCGTATAACAAAATGATCCTGTAAACATATCTTATTTATTTTCCTTCTTATTGTGAACAATATTCAAATGGGAACACATCAATAACAACACATTTGTACACTTGGATGTTTAATCTGTAATCAACGGTACAAAGTCAGAGGGGTCAAAACCAAAAGTACGACACAGATGTCAGTAGCGCGTGTGTCCTCCACGGGCTTTTACCCACGCTGTGCAGCGACGTCGCATGGAATTTACCAATGTTTGAAAGAAGGCCTGGGGCGAATTGTTCCATTCTTGGACAAGAGCAGCTTCTAAAGCAGCAATGGTGTGCATCTGTGGTCTCCGATACAGACGGCGTCCAATCTCATCCCAGACATGTTCTATCGGTGTCATGTCCGGAGACATGGCTGGCCAGTCCAAGACATTGATGTTGTTAGCAGCCAGGTAGTCCATACTAAAACGGGCGGTATGCGGACGTGCGTTATCCTGTTGGAAGTGCTGAAGTTGTGGGTGCGCTCGAAACATCGGAACAACAATTGGTTGCAAGACATCATCACGGTAGGCTACAGCATTAACGCGACCCCTGCAAATGTGTAGGGCGGTCCGCTGATGAAATTTGAAGCCTCCCCACACCATTACACTTCTCCCACCCCATCGATTCGTTTAGAAGACGCAGCAGTCTGCAAGACGTTCCCCAAGACGTCTCCACACACGTTTACGGCCATCAGCGTGATAAAGATGAAAGCGACTCTCATCACTGAAGAGCCACCCGATTAGATTTTATTACATACTTCGAGAAGGTATTTGTTGAGTAATAAAACCTTCTAGTAGTTTATCGAGGGCTGGCCGTCCTTACCGCACGGTACAAATATTATCACCACTAGAAGCAACAAATTCCAGAACAAGCCAGAGCTCATACCAAACGTCTCCACACACGTTTACGGCCATCAGCGTAATTAAGATGAAAGCGACTCTCATCACTGAAGAGCCACCCGATTAGATTTTATTACATACTTCGAGAAGGTATTTGTTGAGTAATAAAACCTTCTAGTAGTTTATCGAGGGCTGGCCGTCCTTACCGCACGGTACAAATATTATCACCACTAGAAGCAACAAATTCCAGAACAAGCCAGAGCTCATACCAAAATGGCCGCTTTATACAAATGAGTATTTAGGGGAATACTAACACGAACCCTAACCCTTTTAAGAGAAGTAAAACTTAAATTAGACCCAAGTTCAGTCTTTTAAAAAGGATTAGGGTTAGGGTTCGGGTTAGTTATCCCCAAAATTCTCATTTATATAAAGCGGTCATTTTGGACTCCGGAAGCACCCGAACCTCGATAAACTACTAGAAGGTTTTATTTGTACCGTGCGGTAAGGACGGCCAGCCCTCGATACACTACTAGAAGGTTTTATGTCGGCGTAAAATATAAAAACTAAAGCGAAACCTGTTCTAATTAATAATAGGAACATTTAATATTTATCTTTAGGTGGTCTTAGCACCAAACTTTGACTTTGGAACGTCGAAAAATGATCTTGCATAACAGAACCAAAACGCTTCGGAGCCTGTTTCAAAAATACGTAAAAACTGTTAAATCAATATCTCTCCGAATTAGTTTTACAACGAATGCTATACATAATAATGCTAGTTGTCCGAAAAAAAACAATTAAATAGTTCCATGGCTGGACTCCAGCCTGCAGGCCGCGTCACAAAGCCTGCCAAAATTTTCCTCGCTAACATTTACCAATACGACATTTATATCCTGTGAACTACTATGTACAATGCATTCGTCGGTTTTATCTGCGTCCATGTTCCGGCGAAATTCATAAAAACTCATAAAAAGTTTGCAAACTTTTAATCTCGTCGCCAGATGCGTGTTTTCCCGTCACAGATTAACGTCGGTTTTCCTAGACTGGGATTCTTGGAAATCCACGCGGCCTGCAGGCTGGAGTCCAACACTGAAACTATTCAATTGTTTTTCAGATAACTAGTATCATTATGTATAACAATCGTTGTGAAAATAAATCGGAGAGATTTCGATTTGACAGTTTTTACGTATTTTGGAAACAGGTTTAAAAATGTGTTGGTTCTGTTATGCAAGATCATTTTCGACGTTCCAAAGTAAAAGTTCGGTGCTAAGACCACCTAAGGATAAATTTGAAATGTTCCTATTATTAATTAGAACAGGTTTCTCTTTAATTTTTATATTTTAGGTTGTCATTTTATTGCTTTAAATCTTCCTAGTGCAAAAACGGTAAATTTCACCTTTTTGACTTCCAGGGTCACTAAGACTAAAGGTGAATTTAGCTAGTTTACATTTTTATTGAAAGTGTGATTACTTTCGATCATTTTCACCTTCTTTTCATAATACAAGAATGTCTGCGCATTCACTTTCAGTGCAAATGAACTCATTTGACCTTTGACCCCGGATATCTCGAAAAAGCCCAACGGCGGACTGATTACCACTCGGCATCGTTTTCTACGCAAAATTTTACTCTAGAAAAGTTGGGTCTTGTTTTGTGCCCATTTGATGGACACCCCCCTCCCCTCCCCGCGCTGAGCCTCCGGACTACTAATTTGGACCGCGTGTGATTGTGATTATGTTTGCGTTTATCATTTATATGACATTCATTTGTGTGACGAATTTCTCCGCGCAACGTGCTTCCCAAGTATCGTGTGCCTTTGTTAATAGAATCTACTGATCC